CTCGAGAGGCTCTCGGCTGCCCGCCTCGCTGCAGAACGGCAGGCAACACAGAATGCAAAAAGGTGTGGAAGCAAACGAAGTGGGCAACAAGGCCGAAGTGGGCGACAAGGCCCAGAAAGTAGGCGAATATATGCACCACCTCCACTCCCCCCCCCAAACTGCTGTCAAATGGCCCGCCCAAAATAACTCAAAGGAGGTCCATTTGCCTGGATGAACAAACCCAAGGAGTATAACCTACCCACAACCTGCCCAACGGCACCTCGAGTTCCTGGAGCTGCACGTGAATTGGCAGCACGATACACCCCTGTACTGCAATAAATGATCACAATGCAGGTGTAGTGCAGGAAGCATGATGAGACTGGTTTGGCACTTACACGTTGCCGTTATTCTAGAAAGATTCGAGCACACATGCTGTACCATCCTTACGAGTTCGGGTCGTGACAAGTAATATTAGCTTTGACGGTGAAGACTTTCGTTGATGATTGTCAAAGGACAATCGCAATCTTGTTGGCGCACAAGCAACAATGCCTGAAGATCTCTGGCTACTTCACTCATGGCTGAAGATTATAGTGCGGGGATCAGCAAACAACTCCCAATTCCCTTGATTCAGTCAAGAGCAAATAGCAACAACAATCACTTGGGCTTCTCCTATGTTTGACTCAAAACACACCATGCCTCAAAGATAAACAGTATTCTGCTCCTATCACCTTGGAAACTGTGGGGAACTGAAGACACCTAGCCCTCTGATATAGCACCTTGTTTACGTTGTCAAGAGCCACTGCCAGCATGTACAGTGTCATCTACACAGTGGATTGTCTTTCGGCGCCAAACGGACTAAGGGCCTACCCGCTTGCCTGCCGAATCTGGACAAGGACAAACATGCTGAAAATCGGTACGCAGTCTCCACGAGTTCAGCTTCTCCCCGTCGCGGCCGCCCCGCAACTCGGAGTGGCCTTGATCAGCACCGCCCGCTTCTGCCAGTCCAAGTGCTCGCCGCGGTCCACGGCCTGAGGCTCATCTCAGCTCTGCTTTGGTCGGGGTACCCTTCGTGCGGCTGGCCAAAGAGAACGCGGAGTTGGCGGCAGGTGTCTCCAAGCTAAAAAACTAGAAGCCACCAATTTTGCTTGCGCTTCCTCCAATCCAGGAGCTAATAAATGTCAGCAACAGGGTCCCTTCAATTTCCCTTTCAACCAGCCCCAACAAAGAACCCACTCCAAACAAGGCACGAATGGCTGTTTGGGCCAGGTGTGAACTTTAATTGGACAGGGCCATTTGGTGGACATCAGAATGGCATGGCTGCATTTATGTCCACCAAGCACTTTGAGGGGGTTCCCTCATTAGTAAACCTGAAAGCCAACAGGTGTGGCAGGAACACCTTCTATAGGTTATAGTCATGGTGACCATGGTGTCCGTAGGAGCAACTCTATAGGGGTGACCATATATATATATATATGTCTATTTACCCTACGCAGGCAATGATGAACCGTTGAAGGCGTAGATTCTTGGAGCCCGCCAGTAATGACCATCCTCACCACCAAGTAAAGCAGCGGTGTGACCATGGCACACGAGGAGATTCACTCTGACTAGACTCCCATCAAACAATCTGATGTCTACACTGGAAGTTCACCTTTGCCAAAAGGAAAGCAGTCTTCCAAAAGGGGTCTCAGTGCTTCCATGCTTGTTGGCGGGAGAGACTTAGCTCCAAGCCCAAATGGAGAAGATACAAAACATGTTTCGTCAAAAACTCCGACAAAAAGAGATGTTCAACCAATCCCTAATTGGATGTTTGAGTTGGTGCATTTTAGAGCGGTGGTTGTGTCACATTGGTAGACGTTGCCATTGGTGTTGGTGCCTTCCAACTTCCTGATCCTTGGTTTGGGTGCGTCGAAGCTTTCTGCAAGAATTGAAGGTTGCGGCCGCCGAACCGAACCAAAGCATTGACGGAAGATTTTAAGATGTGTCTTTGCTCCATTTCATTCTTGCTTTTCCCTGTGGTTTGCCCACCAGAATTCGGGTATCAGGTCAAAATGGTGGCTTTGCGTTGGTTTAGGGTGGATTTGCAGGTTGAGGATGGGTTTCGGGTGGGGATGGGGTTGGTTTGGGGGTAGGCTTCGGGCTGGGTTAAGGGTTGGGTTCAGGGCTGACTCTGACTTTCGGAAAACGCAAGCCGCGAGGCAGAAATCCGTGAAAGCTGCGAATGGCAAGCTGACACGTACAATCTGACATAAGCAGCAAATCCAGAACCCCAGTAAGCATGGGACAAAAAGGGCAACGTGTCTTGCTGGTTGACTTTTAAGAAGAATCCAGCCCTCAGAAGGAAAATGGGGCACTACTGGGAATCGGATTGCTTCCGATGAACAACTCTGAAGATCCAACTGACTCACTGACTGACTGACTGACTGACCGACTGACTGACTGATTGACGGACTGACTGGCTGGCTGACTGACTGACTGCCTGCCTGGCTGACTCACTAGCTGACTGACTGTTGACCGACCGACCGACCGACTGACGGACCGACCGACCGACCGACTGACTGACTGACTGACCAACAGCAAGTAGCTCTTGGTTGCCCATGGCAAAGGGATGAAAGCACCATGTTTGCTGAAAAAACTAAACCCATGCCACTCATCTGATCTGCAAGTTACCCGGGAGCCAACCAACTTCGGAGGGTCTGATCAAGCACCTAACCACAGCAGGCTCCAACAATATGCCCAGAGCAAACATCACCACTCCCATTCTGGAAACTCGCTGATCATTGGCCGAATTTCGGCATTCTTCACAAAGCCACTCGGTTGTAGCCCTGTTTGCCAACACCTCAAGCCCTAGTGGGCAACAGGGAGGCCCCTCACAAACCTCACAAACAGGTATGCCGGTTTGCACTTAGTCAAGTTTTGGACACTGCATGAACCCAGCGGTCACAAAACGTGATTGACACTTCTGAGATGCAACCACTGTGTGGTCCGAGACGACAGCCACAAATGCCATGACGCGAATGAGCAAATTGCTCTTGCGAGAGAGAAAGTGACCCTGTCTGGTGGGCTTATCTCCCATACAGGCCACAATCAGACCGTGGCCCCACCAACTCTTTCGCCGGCCTTCCGACGCATCCAGCGATTCTCCAGTGTGCCTGAGACTTCATGTGGATGGGCCATTACCGAAACACAGCGAAACAAACTGGCGTTGCAAGAACCTACAAAACGCTATCAAGACAGCCGCGCATGCCAAAGAGCAGATTGAAGAAAGCAACACACAGGCCAGACATGGGTGTGTCTCCAAATGGGGGAAGCCAAACTGGGCGGTTTGCCGTAAACACATTCGGCCACCCAAAAGAGTAGCCTCAAACAAAAGGCAGGGCTGCGCAAGTGATTGGCCCCTGACTAAGATCATGAAGAAGCTCACCAACAGAAAGGGGCACTTCATGATAAGATGAAACCCACCCACCAAAAGGGCGCACATTGCGTAACCAACAGGCTTCAACTGCGGCAACTCAAGCGCATCCGAGGGGCAGTGCATAGCAGTGCACAAGTCGGTTACGGCCTCCTCCAGGTCCATACACCTAAGCTCGCTGACATGGACCAAGACAAACTGACTCGAGAGGTAACATGCCACAAGTCCAGAGGTAAGACAAGTGGTAATTCTTACTGGTAAGTCCATTGGCAAGTCCAACTCTTTGTTCAATATGTGCAAGCCATGATTGAACCGCTTCCAGGAGGTGGCTGTAAACACAGACCAATTTCTGGCTGAAACGAACAGCCGAAGTTGGTCAAAGGAGCTCAGACTCGGGTCATGAGGGCTTTTGGTCAGCCCAAAAATGAGTAATTCGCTACGCTCTGTCGCCAGAGAGTGTCTGTGTGTGTGTGTGTGTTCAGGCTGTGCACTTTGAACCTCTGTTGGAAACTGCGATGGACGTCCAAATCCTGCTGAACCTGGAGAAAAGATCCTGCCGCGCAGGGCCGTGGCATACCGCCAGAACTACCTCCGTAAGTCGAAGAGAAGCCAGGCCCATTCAAATCTGAGCTGGCAGCAAACATTTACTTTCCTTTGGAGACAAAATGTAGACAAACAGGCGTGCTTGGCACGTGTTAGAGTGAAAGTGCGGCACATGGTGCCGTGGAAACATGGTGGCAGTCCACCTTGTGCTGTTCAGGAATCAGCCGCCATGCAGCAAGAAATGCTTGTCAGAGCCAGGCACGCTCTAAGAGAGCCGAGGCCATGAACCCATCCCGAGAGAATGGCGAAGCAGCCAGAGAATTGTCTCACCAAGTGGTTCCTTTCTCGCTGCAAGATGGGCAAAGGAATGTTTGCTGTGTGCACTCACCTTGTGGCCGAAGGGCTCACAAAGGAGCGCGCTGGGTACGCCAACCATGAGCCAGACTCATGTATCGAACAGCCACACCAATTTCGTGGCAAGCAATTGACTTTGAAACCTGCATGCACTCTAAAGATGCGATCAATAAGGAGATGTGCTTGCTCAAAGCAAAACACCTACCTAGCTTTGGGCGCTTCTTTCAAGCAACCCGTGCTTTTCTCCCTGCGATTCCCCCTGAAAGCTCTGGGGCTCAGCGCTTTTGTGCCAGCACGGGCCCTGCGAAGGGGGGAGCCAACCCTGAGCCACCCGATCTATGCTAAGAAACATCTGCAAATTTAGTTTTGGACTTTGGGACGGGCCCTGGCCTCATTCGTCTGTGCGGCTTCCATGGAAAAGCCAGTGCCAGAACTATTCCTAGATGGCAACCTCAATTCCTTGTTGTTGGCCCTATCGAGTTCCTTCGAAAACAAACCGCTTCCGAGGTGTCTGCTAAATCTATCGTGTCTTCGAGAGCAGTTTCAAAACCAAACGCGTTCACAGACCTGTGCCGTCTAGATTATATTTATCAACAAAAATGTTCTATGCATACCTTAGCATAGAGAGGAGAGATATACGGGGACTTTGTCCTTCAGAGTGTTGCGGTTACTTCAGAGAAGAGCTGTGCTCTTGGTTGATCACTACCGACGGCTTGCAGCACATGCTCCAATGGCCATTTTGCAATTTGGCAAACCTGACACGATTCCCTCGGGAGAATTGCCCAAGGTTTCGAAGCCTCAATCCTTCAAAGCTGCTCCAGACGTTGTTTTTTGTTTCTCGGATCTTGTCAACAGCCGGAATCCTTCCAAATTGGTTTCCTAGTGCCTGCTCCCGAAATAATCCTTAGGGACATGTCCACAGATTTGACACACCTTTTGGTTGTGAGAAAAGTAGAGAGCTCCAATGTCCCTAAGCGGATCATGGACTCCATGGGCTGATGATATTTGACCGAACCTCACATTTTCCACCACTCTGCCCCCGAACCCCCCCCATCCACCTCGTTGGCGCTCTGCCTGACTCAAGGGCCCCTCGCGGCCCATCAGCTGGCGCCACTCCTGGCAATAAGAGGCTCAGACGGGAGGATATCAAGGGCCTCTCAATTTGGACCGCATCTATGCACAAGTTGCTGGCCCCGGATGAGGCAAAGCTGTGGCAAGCCCCCAGCTAGGAAGGATCCAGTTGAGTCCAGACATGTTGATTCTGGGGGTCTTTTGGGGGGAACAAAGATATTCCCCTTGTTCCCGGCTGTGCATAGCGACCTGTGTGGGTTTAATGCTATGCAAGAACGCATAGAGAAATGCATACAACCGCACACTGGATATCGGAAGGCTTGATACCTCAGAGAAATGTCAGCTTCTGAGCACGACAGATTCCATTTGAGTAAGAGCTCATGTTGGCCCTGCTACTGGCACCATCAGCTTCCCAGGTGCAGCAGAGAGAAAAGAACAGTGCTAAAAGATTTGGGAAGTGCAAAACTTCTTCACGGCTCTTTTCCAACTGCCAAAATAAATCTGCCCTTTGCTCAAGCGTTTCCTCAAGCAACATTATGAGGCCCGTTTCGCAAATCTGGGGCAACCAATCCGAAGATGTCATTGGCTGCTCACCTCCCAACAGTCACAAGGTTTGGGATGGTCCCAGCGTGATCGTGGTATGCAACGCCTTCAAGCTGCCTCAAAATGGGGGGAGGCCCGATTTCACGGTTGGTTTCCTGTTGGTCTTCCTCTAAAACCAACAAACAAGGGCTCCAACGCCTCTAAACCAAAATGGTTGATTTTTCCTTTTGGGTGGCGTACCCTTATTCAAAACAACCCAAACAAATAGGCCCCCAAAAACCCCGCACCCCTTTCGGTCATGGCGGAAATCTGAAAATAATTGGCTTCCTCAGTTGCCTTCCCGAACCGACAAAACGGGGTTCCCAACCCCCCCTGTCAGTTGCGCCTCTGCCAAGTCCTTGTGCTGCTGAAGGAGGCTCATGGTATTCAGCTGAGCGGACCTTGGCTCGCCTAGCGCTGCGACAGTGCGCCCGCCTTTTCACGCAGACCACACGGCTCCCAAACTAGTCCAGTCTCTCGTCCAAAAAGACGCAGCACGACTCCTGCCGTGACGAGTAGTCAATTCGGTTCACTCCCCAGTAGCATTTGCTCGTGGCTTTGCTACAGCCTACCAGCAGAAGCTGCAGATCAAAACTCAGTAGATGTACCACATGCCATGGCATTCAAATGCAGCCTCTGCCTAGAGATGCATGGTATCTGCGATGTGCGCCAGGAGAAGATTACGTGAGGAGGATTAGTCAATCCCATTCATCCCTTTGTCTGGGAGAAAACCCGACATGCAACATGCCTAGGCACAGCCTCCCATTCGAGAGCTAGAAAGCTCTTATGAATTTATCAGAACCCTTTCGAACTCGCGCCATCGCCCAAAGTCCAAATCGACAGGTGGCTGCTGCCACGCCCGCATCTTCTTTGCCACCGCCGGCACCTGGCAGCTGGCGGCCCAGCCTCCTGTTGAGAACTGGGGGTTGGTACGTACCCATACAGCCCTGCTTTTGCTTGCTTGGGTAAAAGACATTGCCAGGCAAGAGCCAATCCGGGGACTTCAGAGCAGCGTGGCTCTGTCTTTGGGTTCATCTTTGGGTCGCTCAGAATCCTTGGTTTGCCCGGGCAAAGTTCGGTCTGTTGTCAACATCCAAAAACGGGTGACAGCTCCTGCAAGGATGCTTCTCTTGGTGTTGCAGCTCACATGCGTCGTGCTATGCCAGAACCAACTCGAGATGATCGCAATGTATTGATTAAAAAACCAATCAGGAATGGTCAAGTCATGAGATGCGCGTAATTTGTCTGGTCAGGTTCGCATGGATTCGCAGTGAGCAGTCAAAGTAGCAAGTGAAGAGCAGGCCAAACCAACGGCCAGCGCGCAATTCAAGCAACAAACGGCATCTGCCCGTGCCTCTACACCATCTGGCGGACCATCCCCCTAAGCCCGACGCCAGTCGAGCGAGTAGATAGTGGTGCTAGGGTTTGGCAGTGCCTCGTCGTTGACTTGGGCTAAGGTATGGTTGCGCTCCGAGTAAAGAGGGCATTCGATCCGCCAAATGTATGTTTGTTTGTTTTTTTCCCCAAAAACCCCCCACCATCGGACTTCGATTGTTGGCCTGCAAAAGTGGTGGGCGGACATACAGTCCCATATACATGGTGTTCATAAAAGGCCATGCCTAGTCGAACATTCATACCCGTGTAAAATAGTAGGCTTCCTGTAGGTCTTCCTTTCCCATTTGGAACACACATTCGCGGGTTCGCCATTGAACTCCAGATACTCTGAGACAATGAAAATCGATCCCTAAGGAAAGGAAGCTGAAGTCAAGCCAACCAAATGTCTACGATTTGGCACCTTTGGAGTGGTTTGTTCATTTAGTCCCAGTCGGAGCCTCACGGAGCCTGCCTCCAGACCCGGCAGCTTTGCAGCCTGCGCCAGCACGCGGCAGGTGAAGACCAGGTCTTCCTGGCGTTCAAGTCGAGAGCTCAAAGGCTCGGCGCCCAAAGGCAATCTCCTTCTTTTCAAAAAACCGGGTCCGTTTGGTGGATTTCTGAAAAGACCCTGAAAGAAATGGGGAACTTGCCCTCCTTTCAAGGGTGCCTGGTGCGCGGGATTGGGAATATCTGAACCGCTGGCTGGGGTACCTAATGTGATTTTGTTGAACCGTTTCCGGCGCCCCTGCCTTGAAAAAAGCAAGTCATGCATTTGCACATTCACGTATCGAAGGGATTGAACGCCCACAGCCAAAAGGGAAAAACGTACAAGCATACCCTCTTTCCAACAATCAGGGAAGCTGACCGGTTTTGGAAGACTGTCCTTTTGACAAGACCGCAAAACGTCTGCTTCCATCGGAACCAGGGCGGTTCCCCTTTGATTTTCCTTAAGGACCATCTCAAGGAAGACTGCCCTCGAGCCAGGACACGCCCCAACCCAAAAACCAGGATTCGTTCATCGGCATACCTCGTTACAGTGGTACCCTGGGAAGCAAAGGGAAGACCCTTCCACAAACATGGAGATCACCCAAAAGCACCTTCAGAGTCCAAGTCAAAGTTAGTTGGGAGACTACCAAAGGAGACCCTGTTGGTGGACAAAACTTACAGGGGGCCACCAACGGGCCCCCATGAAGTGTTCGCTTCTGGCCCAAAATAAGCGGCTGAGAATTGAACACGTGGTATCCGCATGATCCTGACTCAATTTGGCCTTCAAGTACCCTACAGTTCTCACCCTAATCATTTGGGCCCTGATAGCAAGCGTGCTACAGCGGGTTGGCACCGAGGGAACCAAATGGAACAAAAGGGAAATCATACCAAAGCTACCTCAGCTTTAAAAAAGAAATAAAGTGAAATATTCTTTAAACAACAAGGCTCAGAGAAGGGGCTACAACCCTCCCTCTCTTGGACGATGTGCCCAACCAGCTCAAAACACAAAACCGCAGTGTCAAAACAGGGGAACCCTCAAAATGGTTTGTTTCCTTTTGGGCTCCCTTTAAAACAGCCCAAAAAGGAGGGCTTCCTCCAAAAGAGGGTGCCTGGAAGAGGAACTTCCTTTGCAAGGGCCCTCTGTCAAGTGCAATGATAGTCGGAGCCTAAACCTAAAAATGAACAGAAACAAACAAACAAACAAAACAAACAAAACAAACAAAACAAACATACAAACAAGCAAACAAACAAACAAAACAAACAAACAAACAAACAAACAAACAAAAACACAACACACCCATAGAAACAAACAAACAAACAAACAAACAAACAAACAAACAAACAAACAAACAAAAACACACACACACACACAGAAACAAAACAATCAATCAATCAATCAATCAAACAAACAAACAAACAAACAAACAAACAAACAAACAAACAAACAAACAAACAAAACAACACATAACAACACAACAGAAAACAAAACAAACAAAACAATACAAAACAAACAAAACAAACACACAACGGTTGACACAACACACACATAGAAACAAACAAACAAACAAACAAACAAACAAACAAACAAACAAAACAAACAAACAAACAACCAAACAAAACAAAACCAAACAAACAAAACAAAACAAAACAAACAAAACACACACAGCAACAAAACAAAACAGGACAACCAAAAAACAAACAATCAAACAAACAAAACAAAAAAATCAAATCAAAACGACACAATACAAACAAAGAAAGAAAACCAAACAAAACCAAACAAACCCAAACAAAACAACACAAAACAAAACAAAACAAAACAAACAACACAAACCACACAACCCAAAACAAAACAAAACATACAAACAAACAAAACAAAACAAAAACACACACACACACACACACAGAAACAAACAAAACCAAACAACCCAAACAAAACCAAACATAACAAAACAACAGAAAACAAAACAAACAAAACAATACAAAACAAACAAAACGAAACAAACAAAACAAAACAAAACAAACAAAAACACAACACACACACATAGAAACAAACAAGCAAACAAGCAAACAAGCAAACAAACAAACAAACAAACAAACAAACAAACAAACAAACAAACAAACAAACAACACAACACAAAACAAAACACACACACACACACAAAAACCAAACAAACAAACGAACGAACAAACAAACGAACGAACAAACAAACAAACAAACAAATCAAACAGACAAACAGACAAACAAACAAACAAACAAACAAAACAAACAAAACAAGCAAAACAAAACAAAACAAAACAATACAAAACAAAACAAAACAAACAAGCAAAACACACGCAGAAACAAAACACAACAAAACAATACAAACCGAAGGCGAACTGCAAACCCCCCGGTTTGGCCGGCGGTTGCGCCGCGGGCTTCGGGTCCTGCTCCTCGGCCTGGGCCTTGACTCGGCGCAGCAGGTCCAGCAAGGCCTCCCGCAGCCCGCAGAGCTGCGCCAGCAGCGAGGCCGTGAACCACATCTGCTCCTGCGCTTTCGTTTTGCAGGGACGCGAACCCATGTGGGAAAATGTCTGTGTCGTTGCTCCTCTCTTTTTGGCGGGGGAGCGTGGGGAACCCATGTGGTCCTCCGTTCTTGTTTGCGGGATGTGGGGACGTCCCATGTGGGTATTTTTATGTGTCAAACTCGTGTCAAGGCAGATTTTTGGGCTACTTCATTTCATGGGCAAAAGGAAGCTGAAGGGTCTCTCCTCATGAGTGAGTGTCTACCTGTAAGGCCGCCCAAAGAAGTAGAAGCAAATCTGGGCGCCATCCGAGCTCCTGCTGCCACTTCAGACCCTCCTGAAAGGCCTGGCAAAGGTGGCAGAGCTGCAACTTGCATGGGGAGCTCCGAGTCCTTGAAACCACCACAAAGAGGGAAGTGTGGATGGAATTACAGGGAACCAGCATGGCGCCAACCATTTCTGTGTGGTCCATCCTGCATGCCACCTGCAAAGCACAGGAAGTGCTGCATCGCCCGTGTCCCCATGTAGCGTACACCATGCGTGTGGCCCAAAGAACCGTCCCAATGCGGTCAAGCCCTGAGCCCACAATGTGCGTGGGCGTACCTATTTTGGTGAGCATTTTGCAGGACTGCCGGAACCATTCTCAGTGGCCCCTTGAAGTCTCTTGACCCTTTCCACAATGGAAGATAACAGGAGTCAGGAGGGTTTTGGAAAGTCCTCTAAATCGACATGAATTCTGGTTGTCAAGTTCCGCAACCGCCTGGGTGCACTCTTCGATCAGCTTCCGGCAGCCATCAGCGAGGACGTGCAGCTCCTGCTCCTCCCTCTCCTTCGCCAGAAGCGCTTGAAGTTCTCATGCGTATCCGGAACAAGAAAGTGGCTAGCGCACGTGAATGGAGCCATTCTCTAGGTGCGTGTTTCCAGAGCGAAGTCGCTTTGGCACTCCCCCCAAAACCGCCAGAGTTCGCGAGCAAGTGCAAAATGACATTGCATAACGGTCAAACGCCGGCGATTCACAAAAACAAAAAAAGAAAGACGACATCCTCTTGAAGATGCGCTGGGATTTCAGCCATTCCGCTGCACCAAAACTAAGCAAAGCAGTCCTCGTCTGTTGGAGCCTGGCCGCGCCTGTGCATCGATGTGGTGGGGCAAAACTGGATCCGTTAAAGTGACAGCCTCTCAAAGCGATCATAGCATCTGGACTGACCAAGGCATGCGCCAGGGAAACTATCTGGAGATACTGATCAATTCTACTCGTGCTCCATTCCACTCATCAATTTCCTGACGCCACCCTTTCCCTTCACCCCACCCCTCCCCCCCCCCCGCCTGGCTTTGGTGCGGCGCTTCTCCCCTAGCAGCTGCTGGGCGTTTTTGAGGCCCCGCTCCAGGCTGCGCAGCTGCAGCAAACCTCACATGGAGGTCGGAGGTCCCTTGAAAACCCTAAACAAACAGCAAACAGAGTTGTTTGGAGCTCCCCTTTTTTGTTTCGCCCTTCTTTTTCGAGGGGTGGGGGGGGAGTACCTGTGGTGCGCCTGTTTTTGGGAGCTTTAAGGCTGGGCTTGGCGGTGAGTTGGTTCTAGGATTGGCTGCAAATGTTGGTGGAACCAGTTTCGGCCCTCTTCAAGAGAAACGAAGAGGCGGGGTTGTTCAAATAACAGTGGCTGAAACTGAAACGTGCTTAAGCAAGCGGCCTAAACCCGACAGGGCACTTGTGCTTAAGCCTCGGGGTTGGCTTTGACGGGCCCTCTGGCCCCACAAACGGTTGGCTTCCTCTTGGCCTATCAGGAGGGGCACCAAAGATACACCTTGATCATATGGTTGTCAGCCCCCCAAAAGGGGACCCCCAATCCTAATGGGAGCTAATAGCGACTAATAGCCGCTAATAGGGTCTAATTGGCGATTTTTTCAACAGAACGCAGTTAGGGATACCCACCTGGATCTTCCAAATCATTCAAGTTGAACATGTTGGACAGCTTGACATGTACTGCAAGCATCTACAAAGCCAAACACAAGCATCATGGACGGAACAGTCACAGCCATGGCATCAAATTGGGAATCCTGCCAACTTCAACTAAAAGGCCGTTCCTAGCACAACATATATATATATATATATGTTTATTATATATATATATGTATATACAATATATATATATATATAAGAGCGCCCCCGAAAAGGGCCGAGTGGCTCCGCAGGCCTTGAGAGATAGTCGCCCGCAAGCGCTGCAAGTGCAGGTGACAGTCCGTCCAAAAGTAGGAGATGCAGAGCTCCCCCTGGCACAAACCGGCTCTTGTCTCCTTCCGGGCCAAAAGGCCTCTCAGCCTCCATGATACGCGTAGATAGCAAACAAATGAACGGTTGACGCCTGTTGCTTGAGCTCACCTGGGCCTTGGGGTTGCACCTGAATGTGGATGTACAGTAAGGCTGTGGGGTCTGCCACTTCCGCCCTGCTTACAAGCCACAGCATTCACACGTGTTCAACAGCCCTGGCTTCTTCCCGGCGGATGAGATATGATCCAGCAACCAGCCAGCCAGCCCGTCTGCCCGCCAGGCCAACGGCTATGCCCGGCACGGCCTGCAGCATGGGCACGCCTTCGTTAGCGAAGGCGTCTGGAGGAACTGCCTTGCCCGAGGCGAGGTGACACACAGCATGCGTGACAACTTGTGCACATGTCGGATGCTAGCAAAGCGGCCCTCGAAACTTTGAACTTGTCTGGCGGAACGAACCATGAGTACAAAACAATGTATTCGAGCGCAATAGAACCGCGACCTCGCGTGTGCATACAAAGTTTGACGTATGTGCAACGCACGCCTCTTACATGAGTGCAAGAAATGCGAGGGATGCAAGAACAAACGCACAGCGCAATTGCCCCTTTACAGTCATAGCCGAACCTGGGCAACATGCCACGTAGCCCTTTACTCCAGCGCCTGCAGCTCATTGCTGCCAAACCCTTGCGCAACCCTGGGTTGCACCTTACCTCTGCGAGGAGCTATGCATGAGTGTCTGACACCCTGTTGGAAACAACCTACAAGCCAAAGATCCAGGATCATCTCTACAAGGCTGATGTTGCATGATACCCTCAAAAGAAGTTGGCATTCCAGAAGAACTCAGTCGCTCCGGATCTGGAGCACGTTCACCTTCAATCCTTTCCGCTTGTCCACCCAAGGTGTTGATTCCAGTTCGTTTCACCCCATCATTTTCCCCTCAGTTTTGGCAATTCTCTGAACAGGAAGATCCGTAATTAAGAGAACGGGGCGGTAGCCAAATTCATTCGCTCTTCTACCTGGATTCCAGAGTGCTTTGGCAAAAACACATCTAGTTTCCTGTTTACCACTAACGTGGTCTTCCCAAAAAGCGAATTTTTGTGCAGAACGTGCGGTAAGTTTACAGATGGCCTCTCAAACTTGCGCCATGGGAGTACTGGCTGCCTCAAAGACTTGCTGCGCGTCCTCCCAGAGGCTCAACCAAGTCTGGCGCCAGCACTCCCAAGGCACCTGCCACAGATCAGACTGATGTGGCCCCTCGTACATCAACTAGGGGATGAGGAAAAGGACCACAGTCAAAACGTCTGGTTTTTTCTGCCCGAACACGGGATGTGAGCAAACAATCCATTTTCTCATGGTGTGCGCCCCAGGTCATGCCCTTGTCTGCAGATGGCTAGTAAAAATTGACCACTGAGCATATCAGAACAAAGACTTGTTTGTATGCTTAAACTGCCCCCCCCCACCACACCCCTTTGGTCGGCTTCGAGGGCTTCCTGAAACCTGGGAAGCACTCTCTGAGATCGCCCAAGGTGGCGGCCGACCCCTTCAAAACCCAAAGTGCCAACAGGGCAACAAGAGCCACAGTGGCCACAGCACCAGTTTTCAGGCCGAACCGGCGTTCTGCGATGATAGCATGCTTGGCTGAACCAAACAAATTCTTCTCTGGGTGTTCCAATTTGCACTCTCTTTCCAACAACAAGCATGGAAGTGGACAGCTGCCGGCCTTTCCAAGAGGGCGGTCGTTGTTTGATCAGCTGCCGTGGTTGTTGGAAAGAGGGCACAGCATCAGTTTCAGCTATGTTGTCAGCAGCCACTGAGAGAACCTTGCTTTGGATTCCTCGTCTCAAAAAGACAGGCTCCGTGATTGCAGCATGATCAAAGTCGCAGGCGAAACAACCATTTGCAGGCATGCAAGAGGGGCTCCCAAAAACGTTACTTTCAATTAGGAGGGCAGCTCCCAAAAACAACAGGCATGGAAAAGGCGTCCGGAAGCGAACGGTGTCATGATGTAGAGGGTGATGCGGGGGACGTGACAGGTGATGCTGAGGATGCTCGGGATGCGGGGGATGCGGACCCTGCATCACCAGCATCATCCGCAGGAGAAAAAGCTGAAAAAACACCAAAGGTGTCAGCTGTTTCCCCACTAATATCTCCAATTGGTCCAAGTAACTTTCTCAGTTGGGCATGTGCCCAAATTTTGGGACCCCAAAAAAAGACGGTGGCTTGCCCTTTGATGTCCCTTCAGACCAACCCATCAGGGTACCTTCAACAAACTGTCGCCCGTCGCCTCCACGGTGGGCCAGCGCCAAGCCGGCGCCGGCGCTCGGCGCGCTGAGCCATAGGTGAAGGGCTCCACAGCCAAGGGCCCTGAAGGCTCGGCGTCCAGGGGTTGGTTCTGGATTTTCACTGGTAGGAATTTCTATTTGGTTCTCCTCATGTTCTAGGGCTTTTCAACCAGCGTTCTTTCCAAAAACCGGCCGTTTGTGGTCGGTTTCCGGAGGTTTTCTAGAAAGAAGGATCCCTGGAAAGAATGGAAATGGAAGCTACCCCTAGAATGGTACCCTCGAAATGGACCCAGCCAAAGGAAGACCAACAGCCCGTGCCTTCCAGCTCTTCGATCAGCGAGGGCCGCCGGGATCCGTGCTGGCTGCCTCGTCGCATGCGTTGCATGGTGCATCGGGGCTGCTCCCGAAAACGGCATGTCGCAAAAAGGGGGGAATGATCAAAACATTCACTTCCATGCGGGGGTCGCTTGAAGAAAAGCCTGACTTCAAATTGGTCGACACTGGGAAACCAACGGATGCAACAAACCAAAATGTGGCTTTGGACAAAGCATCTGCCACCAGCGACATCAAACCTGCAAGATATTTGTTCAAGCCTCAAAGAGACAGGAACAGCCTCGTTGATCTCCAGCAAGGTGTATGTGTCCCTGCTTTACGTGGCTTTGCAAAACACATCCTCAGGAAAATCACCGTGTATTATATATTTGTTGGGGGTTCCTACGTTGACACCCACCCAAAATGAACAGCCACTTCACGCTGCTGCTGCTCATACAACTTTCAGCCTTCTTGGATGGTGGGTGCAGCTTGCCAGTCTTGAGCTTTCAAGCCTTGGAGGGAATGTTGCTTGATGCAACCTACCCGTTGCACGAGCTACAGTGGAGATCCAAAAAATGGCCGTCTTCAGCTCGAATAGCGCAAAGCTGAACATGTGCACAGCTCAAGGTCGATAACTCCTCTGCAAACTTGCTTTTTCCGGAAATCATGTCCTTGCATCGGCTTGATAAAATGAGGCCTGATTGGAGGGGCAACAGCCTGAGGTTTTGTTCTATGTCCAAACTTAAAGGATGTCTGTTGGTGGCGCAGCGCGCAAGCAAAGGCGTGGCAAATGCAACGGAGCAGAAGTGCCCACCCAGCCTTCAGTCGTAATCGAAACTGCACCCGCAGCGATGGCAGACTTCCGACCGGGCTTCCGTGGTGAAGGCCGCCGGACTGGCGAAATGAAATGTGCGTGTGTGGTCTTGTGATAACACTTCCCACCTGTTTAGCTTGGTTTGAAGATAAACCAAGGACTGGCCGCATTTTGGGGTGACGAATCCCCAAATGGGGCAGGGACACCTCATGTTTCGACCTGCCATCAGAGCGGCGGCTGCTGCGGCCGCTGCCCACAAGCTGATTCAAAATAGGTCGAGCTCCAGCGACCTGAAACTCTAGGTCACAGAAAGCTCTTTCAGAGTCAAATCCTTCAATCTGGCAACAAGATCTCTGACTCCGCAACCTTGAAACCTCCGAGCACTATCCAGAACTCATGGCCTTCCACGTCTACACCTTGAAAAGAGAAGTCTCCCAAGCACAAACCCAAAGCACCAGACAGTCTCCGAGACGGCCACACCGGTCGCCTGGGCGCCTCTCTCGGTCCAGCAGCCCAGGGGCCGAGAAGCTGCGCAGCAGGCGCCAGCGCCAGCGGCTGTCGCAGTAGTAGCTCCGCTGCGGCATGGCCTGCCCCGCGAAAACCTCACCCCATACCAAGGGAAACCCATCACCCCTACCCACCCACGGAAACTCACCCTTCATGGGCCAAAAGGTCATGTTCAAGGTCGACCAAAACGGGAATATAGGGGTCCCCCCCTGTCCAAAGACTTCGAGGGGTTTGCCGACGAATGCTTTGGTGAATGGGATTGTAACCTTCTCAACGGGGTCGGGGTGTACTGGTCAACCGCCTAATCACTGTAACCCTACTTCGACAGCTTTGTAGACCTCCGTTCTGGGCCTCTAACCCTGGTCGCAAGCCAACAAATGCAGCCACGTCTACAAAGCAAAGATTGAAAAATATGAACCAATATTTAAACCCATGCACCAGCAGAAGAGGGGAACTGTTAGTTCCGCAAAACCCGCCAAGTCTTGTACAACTAAAGGAAAGCGCAGGCGTCAAAAACGTGTTGTTTCTCTCTCTTGTTTGTAAGATATGAAACGTGACACTAGTGAAATCAGGAGCTCGCCTGCGGCAAGAAAGAAATGAACCAAGTGCGCAAATCATGCAGCGACTGGCCGGGCCACTTGGCGGACCTTTCCGGACGTGGGACTTGAACTAATCCGTCCACGGGCAACGGTCAAGCTCCAAGCTCTGTGAACTCATCCGAAGCGCGTAACCGAGGCAACTTCGAGCCCGAGTCAGGGCACCGCAGTTACGTAGCTGGACTCATTGCGTCCAATGTTAAAACTTGCTCACATCCCCATGAATTGGATTCCCCCGGCTTTTGTCCATCCCGACCCTTGGAGTCGCGTCCTGCGCCAACGTGGGCAGCTCCAGGTTCGGCTTCTCCGCCACCGCGTCCAAGCGCGACCGGGTCAGCGCCCGGCGCCGCCAGGCGAACTCCGGGCAGTCCTGCGGAGCGAGCGCGACGGCTTTGGAGGTGCCCTCAAGCCCATGGGCTGTGGCCACCCTAAAGGGACTCCCGAAAAGACAGAAGGTTGGAAAGGTGAGATCAGTGGTCAACATCTTCAGTTGAAGGATGCCAGGTTTGGGTGAAGATTTAGTATTTCAGGGGGTATAAATGTCCGCTCAACGGAGTCCACCAAGGGTTACCTTATTAGCCAAAGGAAGGCGGAGAGGTGGGCTCAGGTGGGCCCACGCGTCTTCCTCGGTTGGATGGTGTAAAGGGAAACCAAGTCCCGGGTGGGCGCGGGTCGGAAATCCATGGAGTTCCCCGTTTGGAGACAAACCCCAATATACAGGGGTGATGTTTCAGCGAGATTGTTGTTTGTTGGAACCTGTGGTGCACATCGGAAATTGCAATTGCACGAATCTATTGGCAAGTTTGGTCCTTCATGCTTTACCACAACAGGAGGGTGAACTGCAGCAACTATCCAAACAGGATGGGGACCTCACTGTTAAACTATTCTGCATCTGTCAACAACAAAAAAATAACATAACAGTCAAATCATACCTTGCAGTACCTTGCAGAGTTGTGCTATTCGTTATCCGTTGTTGCAATGGTGCCGAAGAGAGCCCAACCCCCAAGCATGAGATGTCATGGCAGAACCCCCAATGCTTCGCTACCACAGCTGGCCGTTCCATGCGGAACACATGAAATAGCTGTGGATACCAACTCGACATTGCAGGAGGGAACAAGGACACAGAATGCAAGCTAACTTCCCACTTCAAAACGGCGTGAGTTGGCTTTGGACTCGATTCACTCATTTTCTGTAGGCGCTCTTGCACCTTGAACACAATTACGTGCGTACATGTGCGTGACAAACAACATTATCTTCCGAAAGTTTGAAAAAGGCTTCCAGCTGTAAGACAACTCAGGCCAACTCCTAAACGCCGCTGAAATCCGCGAACATGCAGTCATTCTTCCCGTATGTATCGTGCAAGCTTGGAGTTCACCAAGGGTGGGGATTGCTCCAACGACCCAAATGGTAACCAATGGACACCAAATGTTTGACAGCTCGGACTACACACAGGTCCCCTCGCCTCTGCCTTCGGCTGGCTGTTCGCCTTCCGCACCAGTCTTCTACCCTGCCGGGGCAGCAGCCTGCGCAAGGGCCAAGAAGCTGCCAAGCTACTCCCCGGCTAGGGAACCCTGAAAGGGGATCCATTTTCCCAAAGATTCCTTTTGGTTTGGGCTCCATCTTCATCTGGTAAGTGCAGCACAATTTACTGATTGCACCCATGCCTTTGAATGAAAGCGCTTCCGGGCACTCGAGGAATTCCCTATGTGCACATGAGCCAGTTACAAAAACTTGTTTCCGCAAGAGGACATGGGAAAACTCGTGAGTCCTCACGTTTTGGCAGGAACCTTGGTCAGTCTTTCGTGTCCCTCCTAAATGAACCATAGACTACCAGCAATTTTGACCGAACCCATAGGGATCCTCACCTTCAAAGCTCCCACCACTCAGCTTCATGTGCGTCTAGACAAACTTGCTGGTTCTTAGTAGGGAATGATAGCATGACCCCAAACTGAATCATCTCAGGTGGGCTCCTTTCAGGCAATCCCAAGCTGTTCTTTCCCCAAACCCCCAAGCAAATTACCTACTAAGAACTAGCAAGAACACGACTGAATGCAACCCCAAGTCTGCGAGGACGGCCTGGCAAGGACCATCGCCATCTGCAAGGGACTGCTCTTTGATGCCTCCAATGGCGAGAAAGGCAAAGCAGGTTTACAGGGAGCCCTTCCCCTTGGCGCGCTGACTTTTGAAAAAAACACACACACTTTTTGCGGGCTGCGATTGGAACGTTGCCATACTGAGGCAAGTTTCAGGTGCGAGGGCTTTGCCCAAAGTCAAGCCCCTGATAGGTATGTGAGTATCAAAAGGACGGCCCTTGCGGTATCACACTGCAGCTAAGAACGTTCATCGTAGGTAGGCTCGGTCTAACCGCAGATCGGTGAGCTCGCCAGAACCAACCCAAAAGTGCCACAGCACCGGCACGTCTCTGGGCGTTGTCCTTCTTGAAGGGAATCCGCGGTTGATTGGGTTGAAAGGAGGTACCTTTGGCTTAGCGGAAAACAGATCCTCTTGATTCTTGCACAGACCCGAAATGAAACCATCCTATTTCGGGGAGTTCCCCTGTTTGTGCGACTCTGTTAAAAGGAAACCCGAAAGGAAGCCAACCAATTTAGACAACCAGCTGATAGAACATCTGACCACTGTCCAACTCGCCAATTTGGAAGTCCAATGGCTCCCTCTTTCGATGAGTCTCGAGTCATAGAAGGTAAACCCAAAGGACACCTGGCTGGTCAAAAATAGGGTAACCCCAAAATGGCTTGCCCTGGTGAATGGAAACAATGACTAAAACCTGTGGTCCCCTAGTGGCTTAATTTTGACCCATACCCACCTGTTTGGAGCCAATTCCTTGGAGTGAAACCCTTGGTTCTCGCCTTGGGCAACTCGGGCAGATCCAGGACGCGGCTTTTGGCTGCCTCCACAAAGCGACTGCAGCCAGCAGCCACCTGCCGTGGGGCTGACGCAAAAGTCGACCCTGAACGTCTTGGAAGGATTGCTGGCGGTAAATGACCAGGAACAAACTGAAACCATTGCCATCGACCCAACAAACCGAAAAATGGACACCTATGGTCTCAACATTTGGCCATGGGTTAAAAGCCAAATCGTACCCCCAGTGAACATCCCAATCCCCACTAAAATAGACTAAAATGGGTGGTGCACCTACCCCAACATGGTACCATTGGTTTTAACGCACAGCCAAATGACCAGGAACAAGCTGAAACCATTGCGGTCGACCCGACAAACCTGAAATGGACACCTCTAGTGTCAACATTTGGCTGTGACAATTGCAGAAGGCTTGACAAATAGCATGGGCATGCAAATGTTACATACGTAAACCAGAGGCACAAATTCTAATTACACAACATGAGCGGGCACTGTATGTGGCAGGTCCACTGTGCCTCGAAATGCTACCATGTGTCACACAGATTAAGCAATGGTGGCCCAAGGAACGCAAGCATACCACATTGCAGGTGGTTAAAAAGGGATGCCAAAAGGAAACCACCCATTTCATGGCACCTGCATTTGCACGTAACACGCCCATGTGCTCAAATCGAACAAAGGATCTTTAGCCTGGCAGTTGCAAGGAACTGTCGGTTGTATTCAAAACATTTGCGGGTTGTCCGGCGGCCTCTGGCTGCCCAAACTCCCGCAGCCAGCTCTGCAGCTCTTCCAGGCGCTGCCTGTCCCTGGCCATCTGCGCCTGGCAGGGGACAAGGGGGAAGGGCCATTGGCCCAGGAAATTACCAGCCCACCTTTACTTTCTGACACAGGGATTTTGCTCAAAGAGCTGAATTCGGCACATTCTGGGCTTGGCTTTTCTGCCAAAATGGGGTTGTGGCCGATTCCTGTTTTCAGGCGCCAGCGTTACCCTGATTGTGGCGGTTGCGCCTGCTCGTTCTTTTCAAGTTACAGGCGTCTCCCCAGGTGTTTGGCTGGGGAGGATCCCTTCTCGACAACACCGGGTTCCTTCCTTGTGCTAATCACAAAATAATGTTCAAAAAGGTGATTCTGAAATCATTCAGTGCCTCTTCTTCTTCGTCTTCTTCTTCTTCTTCTTCTTCTTCTGGTCAACAAATCGATTTCAAAAGGGCCTTGCTGATCTGAGACTTGGCGTGTGGAAGCCTAGCACTCAATCGATCTGACACGATCGCCTTTGACTTTGCGCGCAAAGTCTATTGCAGCAGTCTTCGCGTACCCGTCGGCGCAGTCGGCGTAGCCCTTTCCAAGAAGCGGGTTCGGCTTGGCTCCGGCCTCCTTTGGGTTTTTTGCCCGGGAACGGGCCAAAAAAAAAGCCCAACCTCCCAATTTGGAGCTCCCCCCCCCGTGCCATGGACACCTAGAGTCTATTTTGCAACCATACCCTAAAAACGCAATAACCCAAAAGAAGGAGGTTGTCCGCCATACCCCCCCCCCCCGGCTGGCCATTCAGAGCGTCGCCTCCACCTTCTGGGCCTCTTCTGCCAACCGCGGCACCTCCTGCTTCTTTCCTCAGCCCACCGAAACAAGAGGCTCCGACCCGGAAAAGGGCCCCCTCCAGATCTGACGAAAAGGACCCTCACCCCCCTTGACCGCTCCAAAGCTTAGCAAACCAGGAAAGTTCGATCTACTATCACCCGACTGCATGAATTTCAGGCGCCACTTGATGTTGATCGTGAGCTTTGGTCTGACAGCATGAATGCTCGGAGGGTGTCTCTGTACTCTTCTCTTTCCATGCGCTTGCCTTGGTTTGCGAACGTTTGGAAGGAGAGCAATGGGAGAGCGCCCTAAAGTGACAGCTGAAAGCTGCGAAGCCCTGGCCCAAATCTGTGGCTTTGGGATCGGTAACAAGGCCCAGAAATCTTCAATCATTGCAAGACAACCAGTCATGCCAGTAAGTGGCAAGAAAATAATCACCACGCAATTCCCACAACATGCTTCCAAACATGACCACAACTGATTTGTATTTTTGCCAGCCCCTTGCTGCCATCCTCAACAGGCCCCGGGCGATAGCCTCTCAAGTGCCACAGTACGGCAGCTCAGCCATTGCTTGTTCAAACATTGGGTTGCTAAACACCGCTAATTGGTTCTCTCGCCAGCCCTCACTAGCTTGTGCAATTTTCCAGCATATTGAAGGTGAAATGGCCGGTCGTGTCACACATATGTGGGCAAGGATAAAGCATTTCCTCCACAGGAGCACCATGAGGATGCGTGTGAAAGAAAACCAAGGAATATATCCAATACAACTGCGGTGCGTAGGTGCATTTAGAACTTAGCGGGCAACAACCATGAAGACTTGCCTAGAGCCAAACTTTGATGTGGAAAGCAACAAATAGCAAGCCCACTAAATGTAGTACTGTGCCCAACCAGTACACCCAACCACATGTTCCATCACAGATACTCTGAAACTTGAGCGTTCTACTTGTATTCCCCCAATGTTTGAGGAAGAATCACGCACTTTTGGCATCCCCAATAAAAGTACGTCCTCCGCATCTCCGCGTAGTTCTTCTGACATGTCCGAATTAAAGCCACCGCGAGTCACACTCAGAACCTGGCATGAAAGTGGTCTACCGCTCGAAACGGGCGACTCCCCCGACTTACCGCAGGTCCTGTCTACCAATCTTCTAGAAGGGTTTTGCTTCTGTCCGTATTTGGGTGTGGCCCAAGATTAAGGAGCTACCCAGATCTTGTTCTTTGGTTCCATTTACCAAAGGCCCATGTTGGTACATTTACCAAAGAGCCACAGCCACTTTCCACGAGGCTCGCATGAGCTCCTCCATGACGTTGCCGGTGATGAAGCTGGCCTTCATCGCCCCAAGCAGATCCTCCACCGTCCTGCCCCGGCGAGAGAGAACACGCGACCGGATGCCGCACCAGTCATAGCTGTCATAGCTGGCAGGGTGTCCGAAGACGGTGTTCCTTTTGGGGAAACCCGGTGGGAACGAAGAATCCCTAAGACTTGGGAACTCCTGGGGTTCAAACATTGCTGAACTTGTACAAGAGACACTGAGAAGTGGCTGCAGTGAAAGATGGATGTTCCAACAAGTGGATCATGTTGAACGTGCAACTTGGCAGTGATGTTCTAACAAGTGAACTCTGCAAATTTATTCATGTAGAACCCTGAACAAACCTTGTCCAATGCTACCAGTGCATCAAGCTTGATGCTAGCTCGTCTTCCCATGCTCACCGAGCCAAGGTCAAAGCATGTGGATTCTGCAAAGGACATGGGGAAAAATGCGCGAGTCCCATGGCACGGGACGTTTCGCGAGTCCATCGGGACATTTCGTGAATTTGGACATTTAGAGCTCGTCCCTCTATGTGCCAAATGCAGACAAACCGGGACCGCAGTCCTCAGCCGCTCCTGGGCATCTTGGTACATTGCCTGCCCGAGAGCAGAGGGCTTGGAACCTGAAAGGAGGGGTATGTGTCAAAATAAGGGGACTCCCCAAAAGGTGGCTTTCCTTTTGGCGAAAAGGGCATCCTCGAGAAGTCATCCCCACGTGGAGTTTGATTCAAACTGTTCATTGATTATAGTCAGTTGTTGCTTGCGGGTTTGGAGTTAATGATCACAATGATCGTTGGTTTAGGCGGTATGTGTCGGGACCAAAATCGGCGGGCGCGCGTGCTTCGAGTTTGGGGGTTCCGGAAGCATCGGGTCGGAGAGATGATAGCGTTCATGATCACTGACAAAACATGTGTGCATGATCACTTCATGATCACGGAACAAACAAGTTTTCTTTTGCAGCTACGGCCACTTCATGATAACTGATCCTACAATGAAGATTAGGATGGTGAGGAAGGAATATTGATTGGTGATCCACATTCTGTATTCGCTGTAACCTGAGATTCATCCCTTAGCCAACTCTTGGGATTTTGAGGAAGTCGTACAACAGAGAAAAATAAAAAAAGAAAAGCATTAAATCCCAAACAAAAGAAAAAGATAAACAAAATAACCAAACAATGCAAAGAAGATTCAGAAAATAGACCTTCGTGCCTCAGATAAATCTATTATTCTCATGTTGAATATTTATTTTGTATTACTAATGAAATCTCATTTACAATCATATCCTTGTCCTCTGATCATAAATTATTTTGGAATCTTGGTTTTTTATTGGGAATTACTATTTTATTACAAATTATCTCTGGAATATTCTTAGGTTTACATGTAACATCAGATATTCATTCAGCATATGTTAGTGTTTTCTTTTTAATTAGAGAAATATATTATGGATGGTGTTTACGTTATCTTCATTCTAATGGTGCATCATTTGTCTTTATTTTTATATTTCTACATCTTGGAAGAGCTATATCTTATGCTTCATATTTTTATAATCCTAATACTTGGTTTTCTGGAATTATTATTTACTTCTTCTTAATGGGAACAGCATTTATGGGTTATGTGTTACCGAATGGACAAATGAGTTTATGGGGAGTTACAGTATTACAAATTGATTATCTCCCATTCCATCTTTAATAGAATGGCTTTGTGGAGGACATTATGTTTACAATCCAACATTGAAGAGGTTCTTTGTCTTCCATTTTCTATGTCCATTTCTTCTTTGTGGTTTTCTTCTTTATCATATGTTTAATCTACATTGTCTATCTTCTAATAATCCTAACAGGAATTCCACTAATAATACAATAGCATTTTTCCTTTCATTATTAGCAAATGTTTCTATGGAAAGATATTATTTCTCTATCTATATCTTCTTCAAATTACCTCCGGGTTCTCTTCTTTCTCACATCCAAATAATGCATTAGAAGCATGTGCATTACTAACTCCTTTACATATAGTACCTGAATGGTATTTCTTATGCCAATATGCTATCAAAAAGGGCTTTCTTAGTGACCACTTAGCCATTGCTAAAGTCCGATGGCGACAGGGAACCGTGGCACCGGGCGCTGGCAAGCTTCTGCAAAGACTTCATACAAGCTGTTGGTTGAATGATCAACAGGCTGATGCTCTTGCTGCTTCCCGCAGAGTGGGACCAAGATCGGTGGCCGCGTTGCATTTCTAGTCCCTCTAACATTGAAATGCATTGTTTGGAGCCGAACCACAACGGAAAAAATAACCGCATCCGCCGATCTTGGTCCCGACGCAGGTCATGTTATTGAGCTTCGCTGCCCTCAGATCTCGCTGCAAGCCCCCAGGCGCCCCCTGCCTGGGTTTTCTCCCGAGTCTGCTTTGCCTGCGTCGGGTGGGGCATCCAACTCTCAGGCTCAGTCCTCTCAGCCCTCGACACCTTTCTTGGTTAATTCCGTCCAGTCTGTTCACCCATCTTTCCGCAAAAACCGGCGGTTTTTCTGGGTTTGGGCAGCTTTTCTAGAAAGCAGCCCCTCTGCCCAAGCCCCATGCAAGGCGCGCAAACACTGGATATATCTGGACCCCGTTCAAACCCTCCCGCGATCCGCTCAACGTGCTGGGCCCACCAAGCCTTCGCCACTTTGCGCTCAGCCTCTTCCTGCATGTCCTTCGCCACCTGGTCACAATGCCAAGCAAAGGGCAGGGTCTGCAGCAACCTTGAAACCTGTCCTGCAAGTACTTTGATAAAGCACCGTGAGTCCAACTTGGAAACAGGGATTCCTATTGAGCCAGCGCTGCTGGCCAAAACTTGGTAGTTTTGTACGGCTCCCACACAATTGCTGTAAACCTATTTGTGCAACAGCTTCTCAACAAGTGAAATCAAGAGAGTGCGTGGCCGCTGCAAAAGAGCTAAAAGGGCTTGGAAACCATTAGCTGCATGTTCGAATCAGCTACTGTACTCCTCAACAAAGGGTAAAACAGTATCGAGTTTCGCTGCCCAAATATTGGCAAGAAAGCCAGCTGCCAGCTGCCAGCACCGCTGATATTGTTCTCTGATCAACCATCAGACCCCATAGAGCCAACTGCCCAAACCCGCAATGTGCCTTTGCCCCAGCGAGTGATTCGAAAACTCTTTGCCTTGTGAAAGTGAGCCAGTTGCCTGGAGCGTGCACAAACACGCCTCCACTGGATCACATTGGGTGCTGACAAGTTCTCGAGTCCGAGCCAGATCAAGACCTCTGCAAAAATGAAAAATGCAAAAGTAGAAAATGAAGGAAAAGAGCAAAAGGGCAAAAAGGCGGGTTAAGTCCGGCAATCAGTATTCATTTGTCACTTCCGGCCCTCATTGCCTCCTCCACGATCAGCTCCTGCAGGTCCCGTTGATAGCTTTCCATCCTTCGAGCTTAGCCATGGAACGACCCATGGCTCTTGGCGAACGAGGCTGTGGCGAAACATGCACTGCCGAGCAGGGTTCCGTTCTTGAGCTCCCAAGGATGCAAATAAGGACCGGTCGTATATTATTGAAAAAAGGAAACACCTGGAGCTTAGTCTGCCTTGGGGAAATCAAGAACTGCAACCCTGATGATAGGGACCTCTGCCTCAAAACCTACGCAATTGTTCATCGATATACACCGCAGTTCACGGTTCCATTGGTATGGTAAGAGCGGACCTTCACATATCATACCACAAGGGCAAGACTGGCCATGAGACCAAGCAACTCCGCTCACTTACAATGGGAGAACCCGCCCAAACAGGTCTCCCTTTGGATTGCCTTCAAAGCAACCCGAGAAAGGGTGCCCATCTTGTGCCGAGCTTCTGAAGATCGTGTCCATCCACTATCCGCTGTGCTCCTTTGACTCGCATCGTCAGGGTGTCCCTCTGATCCTGCACGTTGCAACACCACTCCACCGCTCTGCGGCGAAGCACAATCGGCAGTCCTCTAAGTCCTGCTTGTAGGCCTGGTATTCGCCTTTATGACGATCACTACCTGACTGCAGATCGCTGTCAAGGCAACTCGCGCTCTTGATCGCCCCCTTCCAGTACTCGGGTCATCGATTCTCAAGTATATACTTATGTCCGACAGAAACAGGGGCAGGGAAAACCTTCGAAGTACCGCGGCAAGCATTGCGTCTGGGTCAGGCGCCGTCTGCAGAAACAGCCTGTGTCAGAAATATGCGCCCGTGGTAAGGATCAAAACATGACACAGAAACGCCATGAGGTTCGTGCCTTTGGAACACTGCGCTGTGAAACTCCCATCCTTGCCTTGTTTGGTGCGCCGCACCTTCTCCTGAAGATCCCGGTATTCCTAGCAGGGAGGTCATCTGAAGGAGTCCAAGCACAAGCCAAGAAGCTGCACGTGGACCCGCAAAAAGCTCGGAACATTTGCTCAAGACAGTCCGCCAACGGCGAACTTATTTGTCCATGATTTCTGAATTTCTTGGTTGGGAGCTGGGTAGAATCCCGCACCAGCTGGGATGGACAAAACCCTATGACTAATGGGGCTGTCAACTGGTGCGGGATTCTGCCCATCCAGAATTCTCCTGGGACTTCCCACCCTCCCGCGCTTTGGGCTTGCGCGAAAGGCGGCGGCCGAAAAACGAACCACCGCTCGCGCCTCCTCAAGCTCCACCAGGGCTTGGGCCTGGGCCTCTGCCTTCCTTTCCTTGGACGCTTTTTTGTTGGTTTTGGGCGGATGGGAGGGAACAGGGGACGGGGGGGGGGGAGGTGGGGAGCCGGGATGGAACCTGTGGTTGGACAAGCAGGCCCGATTCGGTTCTTCTTCGGGAAAGTTGAAGGAAATTGTTGAAACAACGTTGGCTTAAGCAGGTTGAAGCAAATGGGTGTCCAAGTGACTTGAGGATCCCACACACAAACTAGCTGATGGAATCAGTCATCCCTACGTGCACAAGCGGTTGTTTGGGCCTCTCAATCCTTGTTAGCCGCCTTGATCTTGAAGACAAGCGTGCACCGCAGTCACAATTTGCAAAATCGAGGAAGACAAAAAAAACAAGGCAGCACTCATGGGAATGCCACGCTTGCCTGGTCCTCGGTCTGGGCTCAAAGTCCATCAATTGAATCCCTCTTTGCGTCTTCCAAATAGGAGAACTGATGCAGAGAATACATATGTATATATATATATATATACACATATGGGTACACTTTAGTTTTGCGCTCTTTGCTATGTGTTTGCGTCTGTGCGAGTGCCTAGCTGCCTGCGTGGACGTGCCGAATCACTGATTTGGTGTTGTTGGGAGTCGCGTGCTTTTGGAAGCCTCTGGGAAACAATGACTGATCCCCCAGCTAAAGCGAAGCCAATGTCAGGGAACCTCAGCAATACCACTGCACTGCTTTACCAGCCATGGACAACTGGAGCACTGCGGTACAGCCGAGTGTCAGCATGCTGCTTTTGCGCTGAGAGACTAGCTCAGTTTTGCGGCAGCAGCCCTGGCTCCTGCCTGAATTGTTGGAATCTTGCTCTTGTCGGCCTCGGATGCTGACGAGTCCTTGCAGCATGTGAAAAACTTGGTATGGAATGGGCGTGGTCGTGGCTGTGCTTGGTTTGACTGGGACGCGCTGCCGGAACTGGCCCAAGCCTGGTTACAGTAGACGCATAGCATTTATGGCCGAATCACATTCATGCCTCAGTTTTCACTTTGCCAAGGCCTCTGGCCACTTGGCTCTGCGCGCCGCGTCCGCAAAAAGACCTGCGCGATGTTTTGGCATGGCCGCATGTAGCAGCCTTTGTCCGCGGGGGACTGATATGCAGGAGGCATGACGGGGAAGAAACGCCATATGGACGGACGCGCTTCTGAATACGCCCTTGCTGTTGCCGCTGCAGACAGCACTGCAGGGTTTGTTTGCTTGGCCGACACTCCGGCACTTGCTGGAGCACCGTCCCAGATGTTGTGCGATTCCTCCGAAGTATACTTATACTGTATTACTGTATATATGTATATATATATATATACATTTAGTGTATATATATATATATATAATATGCATATAGTGGATGAATCTGGACAACAAAATGTCAACCCAACAGCGACAAACTCAAAACTCGGAGTGGCTTGCGTGGACATTCCACCTCACATCTCGACTCCAGGCTGCCCGGCTCAAAAGCCACTCCAGTGAATGCTACTTTGCAACGAGCAACCCCCCACCCGCAGCAATGGAACCTGCTTGGAAATGTCATTAGGGACTTGCCCAACAACACCATGTGTGCCATAGTTCCAAGTCCTTGTGTGGGCTGGTGGCCTGCGTTCCTTTCTAGGATCCAATTTCAAGGGTTCCACCCCCATCCCCACCAACCTGGGCATGAACATGTTCTACTACCAACTCGCAAAGGCTCAAGAATATGCCATTCAACTATTCGCATGACGGAAGTGTTGCAACACGTAACTTCTATTCACGAGCATGACACAGCCGTTTCCCTCTGAGTTCTCCAGCCGGCAGATAAAAATTGAGGACGGCCAAGCAGTGAGTGTGCTTCAACTCCATGGGTATGTGTCAAAATAGGGGGCGGTGCTGTTTTTGCTTCAACCCAAAGAAGGGGGCACCAACTCCAAAAACACAGGCACCCGTATGGAATGGGGGTCATCAATGGACACGCGGCTTTGGTTCCGTTCCAAGGCACGTGCTCCACAGCCAGCTTCTCCAGATCTTTGGTCTCCTCCAGGATCCGGCCGAAGCGCCTTCCGGCCACCTTCCGGAGGCCCCAAAAAAATGGAGCGGAGGAGAGGGGGGAACGGAGGGGGGGCAGGGGGCAGTATGCTGGAAGGTCTGGCTTCTGAAGATGGTTTCCACTACCCCTGCACTGTGGGGGGGGGTGCACTGTGGGGGGGCCCTCAGTCCCAGGTTTGTCTCAAAATCGGTGAACTCCCGAAATGGTGGTTTCCTGTTGGTTTCCCTTCAACTTTAAAGCAACCCTTACGCAAGGGTGTACTCAAGAGCTCACTCGGACAGGCGCAAAACCGGCTCCCGGCTCGCCTGAAAGTCTTCCTCCAGCTTCATGGACTTCTGTTGCCTCATCTCCTCCATGTCCTTGGCTCAATCCCAAAGTCCGACCCCGCCTTGCGTGCGCAGCGAAGATTTGCAATCGGATGGTGATGCTTAAATCACATGCCCAAATAATGGAGAGATGTGCGCTTGGCTACAAATACCCTAGAGGTTACATCACGGACCCCACCCCTCTCGGTGAAAGATTCATTGGCCAAGGCTTGCCATTGGCGTTTTCCAGGTTTGGCTACTGGCCGGTTGAGTCTCCTGGCGCAGGGTTTTGCAGCCACGAATAGCCAAAGGGCAGTTGAGTTGAGGGGGACTGCAAAAGAGGAGGAGACCTTTGATAAGTTGCATAAGCCTCTTTGGATGAAAATCCTGACAATGTATATATATATATATACATGTGTATATGTATATATATATATATACATTATATACATGTCACATACCTGCTCAAGCATGCAGATTGGCTGCCACGCTGCTGTCAGGAACTGATTCGTGGAGTCCCTCCGCCTGGGCTGGGCTGATGCGTGCGGGGCACGCGTATTGGGACTCCCAATACGCTTTGTGTCAAGCCCCCTCCATTTGATCTCTATGTTGCAGCTCGCACATGCTCGGACTCAAAGACAGTGCGAACAGGGATCTCAAAGTGGACCGACATAGGCGAGCTTCCAGGCAAGCTTGCTCTCCTTTGCCCAGAGGGATACAAGCCACAATTCAATGCGAATATCCCGGCTTCACTGCCACAGGTGGATCTTTAGACATCCACCGACCCATATGAGCTGGGGAAAAGTGAGCCACTGTCAAAATGAACATGATGCGAATAGAATGCCATTACCGGGCCCGGAAGGCACATCGCATATCCTCTCCAAAGCTGAACATCTTGAAAGTCGCCGATTTGTCAATCCCTCATGGCAGCGCAGGAGTGCGCTGTGTCCACGTTGGGGCTCGGAGGGATGTATATAAACATGCGCGCTCACGCACATCGCACATGGTACCTCGTGTTTCAATCCGACTTTGGTCATAGCAAGAATGAGATGCTGGAGGTGAGATAGCCTTCTCATGTGCTTTTTAAGATGTTGTGTACGAGGGTCCCAAGTAACCCAAGTCATCAGCATATCCTTGGTTACCAGCAGATGTGCTCACAGGTTCGTGTAGGAGTCAGCGACCCTTCATCAGATCTGCGCCACCCCCTTGGATCCACTTCCCAACAGCCAGACCCTAGTTTTTTTCTTGAAAGGGACGACAAAAGGAGGTTGTTTGAACAATAGGTGCCTAATTGCTGGTACTCGGAGAGGAAATAACCCCCTATGAACCATCCCTTGTTTCCCATAAGGGCATCTCCAGCTTCAATCCCAAGAACCCAAGGTGATTATGTCCCCACGCCAGCCAGCCCAAGCCGTAAAAAACCGCCTGGCCCCAAAATCCCCAAATCGCCTGGGCAGATCCGCGGACCACTGCTGCTGCTCCAACTCCGCCAGCCGCGCCTCGTGCAAGAGCCTGGCACGCAAGAAAGCAATCCGCGCAGGCCAGCTGGGGCTCAGGGGTTGCCCAGATTCTTGGTTGCTGTTGACCCCCTGCAAAAAGTTTAACTTTTTGGGGCCTTGATTTCCCAAAAAGTTAAAGTCTAAAGATCCAACCCAATAGCAGTCAAGGGGTTTAGTCTTTCCCAAGGTGCCATTTTGGGTACCACTTTCCGAGCACCGAAACACAACCCAAAAGGGAGTGTCAAGCGGTTTGGTGCCCAAGCAGACTTGTTGGCTTAGCGGCTCGTTGCAAAAGGAGTTTCGAGAAAATGTCTTTGGCCTGAGCATAAGCCAAGCATTTTTGAACCAATGAATTTTGAACAAAGGATCTCGAGCAGTGTGGGCGATAAATCAGAGGATGGAGCACATGATTCAAAGCACAGGCATGGCAAACCGGGGAACGGTCCTGCCAAGCTCTTGCCAACCCGCCTGTGCGATTCCTCTATGACCTTCTTCACCGAGGTGAGGTTGTGCACCTTATGGTGCCAGTGGATCAGTGGTGACTGGTGAAGCCCGCAAACTGGGTAGCCTCATGTTGGCTTCCGTTCCAACCACCCGAAAGGGTACCCTCAAACATCGACAAACCCATTGCCATGTGACTGTCCATTCCCTGAAGAGTTTCCAACTGTGGAAAACTCGTGCTCGAATATGATGCAAGAGATTCACATCTGTCCTATAGGCAGCTATGACAGTGAAGCTCAGTGGTCAACATCGCTGCCGGATACCTTTGTAATTATTTCTCACCAGCAATGTCGTTTAGCTATCGGGGTCCCGCCGAAGTGCAACAGCAGCCACAGAATTCGCCGACTTCGATTGAAATCCCAGTCACGCCATCACGCAGGGAGCGAAGGAGCAGCTCCTGACATTCATTCCGCTCAGGAGTGCGGAATCGAAGGCAGCAACATGCGAGAGGTTCTTCGAGGGCATGCGCTTCAAACGTGATGCTTAAGGCCAAAGTGTAGCGTCTGACTCAACAGCCTTTGCTTTACCATGCCTGAGCGCGCAGAGGGCATGCAGCTTGAGATGGAGGCCAACTCTTTGGGAGATCCGATCCTTTCATGAGCTTGGTGGAGGATTACAATGCGTGGGTCAAACAATGCTGAGAGATGATGTTTGCCTATGTTTGCCTGGTGCCAGCGGCACATTGGATTGAACATCCACAAATTAGCGGCGATGGGTGCATGAGTGCCTTTACGATGTACAGCTAACTTGGCCAATGTTGCTTAGAGACCATGGCTCACATGACCTTGGCAAAGCAAACTAGGAAACCCACAAAAGCAGATTTGGCCGCCCAGCTTCCCTGGTTCTCCCCCTTAAAACTACCCAACAAAAGGGAACCAGCTCAACAAAAAACACACACACACAGCCTTTGGGTTTGCCTTTCTTGACAGAACCAACTCAATCAGAAGAGGGTCCACCCACCAGCACTTGAGGGGGTGCCCTATTGAATCTCATAGTCAGGCTTGCAACCAGCCGACAAGCCGACAAGCCGAGCAGCCGGCGTCCTGCTGCACTCTCAGGCCGTCGGGGCAGTCTTTGGCGCTGCCCACCATGTTGCAGATGCGCTGGTAAGCGCTGCTCCGTGCGTAGCCTGGTGGTCCGCATGTGCCCAGCAACCCATTTGGTCCCAACCAGATTTGTAGCGAAACAAAAGCAGCCAAGGCTGTCAACGCAAATGTCTCAGCCCCGGTGGACATGGATGGACATGGGTTGCTTGTCTGCCGTCAAAAAGCTGGCTCAAGACGCGGAATGCAGGGCTTGAACTCGTGGGCCCACATCTCACAGTTTTATTTCGAGCACAAACGGAGCTGGACTTTGATGGATCCAGCCCAAACCACACTCGACGCGCTTGCCACGTTCAAAACTCCGTATGCTAGGACTCATGATGGTTGCCTGGTGATAGCCATCTCTGCAACTGCAAGCCTTACCCTCGCAACAAACACTTCTTGGGCAGACTACCTCGGAAAGGGAGGGCTCCTGCGCAATTCCCTGGTTGGAGGGCCTTCCATGGTCAAACCTCCTTTGGACTGGTCTTCCTCTCTACTCCTGCCCATTGGCGGAAGCTACCAGGAGATACAAACCCAGGCAGCAAAGCACAAGCCACGTGCCAAGTACCGCAAAGCTGCCCCGTAACCTTGCCGGCCACCTACCATTGGTAAACCGGTGAGAATCGATGAGGCCTTCTGTAACCGAACACACATAAGGAACCCACCGCTTTGCAATGCCAAGAGCCATTCTCCACAACCTGAAGGTTTACGCCACTCCTTCATGAGCACAAAGGCTCAACAAATCAATGCACCAGATGGCCAAAGTAAAAACTGCAGAAAGCGCCAAGCAAATGTAGCTGACTGAAGCGTGAGTTTAAGGCGGATGGCCGGTGGATGGACATGCCCCATACTGAGTCCCACAGTATCTGCACGCAGCATTAATCACCACTCAGCCTCATCTTCGTTATCAGCAAGAGGAATGTGCCGGATTGCAACCCGACATATCTTGGAACAGGCACGTCTCATTCTCGTGTGGGCTCAATCCCATGTGGGCCAGGTTCAACTGGACAAGCTCGGTCTCGTCCACTCGCCCACAAAGGGATTGATTTGGTGCAGCAAACGGTAACGCGGTTGGATCACTCGCAACCCTGACTAAACTTGCCTGAGAAACACACTCCAGTACAATCACTTGGCTTGGCAGCTCATGGGCCACCGCAAGAACTGTTGGGAGCATGCGAGCAGGACTCCAAACGTCGCAAAGCAAAGGCTGTTTGAACACGTTGCAGAAGACTGTGTGCCAGCCAGCTCAACCGGAACCTACCGAAAATCCCCTTGATCTCCACCACAGTGTTCTCCCGGCTGTAGCCAAATCACTGCGAAACAAGCCTCTCGCAAACACCCCCCTGTTCAGCTGGGCTTACTCCGGGCCCATCGGTTGAGATCCAAGGCGCTGTCGAAGCGCATGACCTCGATGGAGGTCGAGCTGAGGCCACTCTGCATGTCCTGCGCAGAAGCCGAGAGCGAATTGCCCGGAAATTCAGGGAGAACCGGGTGGGAGTTTGTATGGGTGTGACGTTTTGGGACTTTGTACCCTTTCACGGGTGTGAGTTTTTTTGGGGTTGGCACCCTTTTCACCTTGGTTCAAGAGCAAACCAAAAGCAAAACCACAATTTACGGGGTCCCCACATTTGACACAACCGAGCCCCAGACAAAATTACGAAGGCTTCTCAGGGGGGACATGCGAAGCTTGGGCCGGGCCACCTGCCTCACTTTGGAGTGGGGGTGCTAACCCTCAGTCAATTGGCTCTTGTGGGAAATTTATAGAGAGCCACCCATCATCTCCCAAATGGACCATGGACAATGTTGACCGAACCTCATATCTGGGGTAAAACCGGAGCCCCAAGAAAGAAACCCTCCAAAGAAAAAGCAGCTTCGCGGCAAGGAAAAGCGTGTTGAGTCAGACACATGTTGAGTCAGACAAGGAACACCATGCCTGCAACATGGGCGCCACATGAGGCACCCCTCGTCAAACCTCGCCTTCAGCACGGGTAGCCCGCGGACCGCAAAAGTCAGAGAGCCCTCTCCTGAATGAACTTGCCGAACTCGTCCTGGCACCTGCACGCAGACTTGCACAGTGCACTCGCATGACTGCTAAGAGAGAAAGCACGTGTCACACATGCAATTCACCCAACCCACGCGAAACGATTCTCCAAACTGGCCCAAAGAAGTACCAACTCGCAGTGTATTTCAACCAAGCCCATAGCTCCCCCGAACCTGGGAAGGCCATTGCAAAGCAACTTGGCTTGCGTAGCCCAGCTCAAGTTGGCCACAGCTGGGAGCCGCACAGGGCGTTCTTGGCAATCTCATTCCTCGTTGGCGGAAGGCGCCAGGTTTCTGAGGGGTCCAACAAGAAACCTAACCCAAAGACCAGAGGGCACTCCATGCCCACACTTTCATTCCAGAAAAAATGCGCAATGACTGCAATGCGAGCATCCACCCGTTCTCACACCTTGCAGATGAAAGACCAAAGAGCAATCTGACTAGCAGAGAGTGGAAGTGAAGCAAACATTTATGGCCACGACCCTAACTCGCCCAACTTGTCCTCCGGATCACAAGCAAAAAGACAGGGTCCACCTCCATAGTCACCCCTTTCCAAGGATCAGCCCTCTACCCCCCCATGTCCGAAACGTGGGAGGCCACACAAGCCCTGAAGCTTCCACAGGCTCCGCCCCGCCCCCCAACCCCAGGCGAGAGAGACCCCTCCAGCTCTCCAGCTGCCAGGGTGCCGCTCTTTGGCCCCGAGCTTTTGGGTCAACACCTGGGCGAAGCCATGTGCCATGCTCCTGGGAGTCCTGGGTCCCTACAGGGGGGAGATGGGGAGAGTTGATCAAAAGGTCCTTTGCACAAGATGTCCCGTAATGGAACACCCCAAAAGATGATATGTCAGAATGGGAAAAGTTGTAGCCAAGAATATTGATCAATCCCCAAATAGAGTTTGCGTTTAACCGGTCCATGAACATCCCAACCAGCTTTGGACAGCACAAGTATTGCTCCAAAAAGAAGGCTGGACTCTGGGAACTGGTGCACAACCATTCTTGCTTGGGGGTCCTGCTTGCGTGCTTCTCTGTTTACCCTTCCATTAATAGGGGCTTCCACTGCAGGGGATCCTTCACATGTTTTCTTTCTGATTGTTTTTTTCTTGGGGGCGGAGCGAACCCGGGGGGGGTGGGGAACCCGCATAAATCCGGCAGGTGCACTCTTCTCTGTTTTAGTTGTGGAGTGGTTCTCTAAACGGGGAACCCTCAAATGGATGGCTTTCGTTTGGTCCCCTTTGAAAGAACCTCCAAACGGACCCTCTCTAAAAGACGCACCTGAGTTGTGGAGTTGTGTAGCCGCGCCTTCATTGCCAGCTCAATCTGCCACCAGCTGTGGTCTGCCGCAGCCTGGGGACTCCGGAACCGACTGGGTCAAACACATATGTTAGACCCGTGTCGGATGGTGTTTCAAGGGAAACCGACAGAAACTTGGCCATGTCGGGCTGGTCCGCTGGACTTCGAAACACCCGCGCGTATTCTAGCGCTTTATTCTTGCTGGCCGAGCTGCCAGCGCTTTCACCAGGAAGGCCAGGGGAGACACGGCATCCAAACCCAGCCTGTCAAGCCACGGCTCCCTGGAAATCCCTGCAAAGCTCCAAAGGGCCAAGGTCGATCCATTGGTATCATGCCAGTCAATCCATCCCAGAAAAAAAGGCTGCACAGTCAGCCAAGTCAGTGAAGCCAAGCAGCACTCTTGTCTCGCGCCAGAGGCGCTCGGTGATCTCATCCTCACGAAAATTAGGCGCAACACACACACCAAACCCCTTGTCAGGCCCCTCTCAAAGTGAGTCTCAACTCCAAGTGCCCTTTGATTCTTGGGAGTTAACCTATCCCAAGGGACGATTGGCTTGCGGCGTTTGTCCTGCACAGACTCGTTCACCAGCGTCCCCGGCGAAAAGCCCTTGATGGCAACTTCGGCCTCGGGCGGTCTCCAAAGCCTGGTTGCTGATCTAAAATCCAACACGGGTCCTTGTGCATCCCTTTGGAATATCATTCCACAAAGCGGGGCCCAACAAGTCATGTTGGAGCCACCGAAAACGGGGCAGAAAAAAAAGGGGGGAACAAAAAAAAAACACCCTGCTGCAAAAGGGCAAAGGGCGTCTTCGAGTTGTTCCCCATGCGCAACTCAGTTGCGAGAAACGGGACGAAGGCTGGAAGCAACTGGAGCGCGCTCGCCATCCCTGGCACCTGGCAGCCTGGGCTCTCACGCCACCGCCATGAGCATGAGCGTGCGCGGGTCATCCTCTGCCTTCTCGGAGTCCTCCTGCCCCTGACAGGGCCCTAAGACCCACATGGGTCTTCTAGGGCTACCTTCCCCAGTCTTTCCAGGGATCCTTCTTTTCAGGAAACCATTCAAAACCCGGGGAAACAGCTGGTTTTAGAAAAGAACGATGGTTGAAAAGAATGGGGAATCAACCCCTAGAGTCTGCCCTTTTTGTTGGAGGGTGCCCTCGTTCGTCGGGGTTAAAGGGAAGCCAAATGGAAACCAGCCTCTCGTGTTCTGAGAGCAGGACGCTCTGAGAGTGTCTTTTTTGTTTGGAGGGGGGGGTCGCCGAACAACAGGACATACCCTCATGAGTTGACGAGATCCCCGAACCAAGCGTAAAGTCGCAACCAAATGATGCCGATCCAGATTCTTAGACTAGCCTTCGTTTGGGGAGGAGATGGGGGGCGCCACCCAAATTTCCCACAAACATCAGGGGGCACATCCAAGAGTCCCACGTCGATCCTCTTGGGGAAGCATTCGTAATTGTGTTCGGGGCTCAAATCCCCGAAATGGCTGGTTTCCTTTGGGGTACCTTAAATTAAAAGCAATCCCAACAAGAGGTATACATACCCTCAAAAAAAACAAACCCAAGTGGCGACGAGTTTTGATGGTTGGAGCACCCTCAGACACGGTGGACATAAATCCCCATGTAAATGATGTCCAAAGGGGCACCGCAGATTCTTGCCCAAATCAGCCTCCGAAAGGCAAAAGGGGGGGCTACAGAGAAACAGCTTGAGGCTCCATGTCGTGACCACGCAGAGGCATTGCGGAAGAAAGCTGGTATAGGTGGCCATCTCCTTCTGGCCCTACCTTGTGCTGATTCTGGCCAGTCATGTCAGTCATTGTGACGGTACCTTTCTGGGGTTGGCCCAGGACACCGCGCCACTTCCCTGCGGAGACTTTTTCCGCATTCAGCAGACCCGTCTCCGTCGCCTCGCCTCAGCGCGCTCGGCCTTCTTCTCGGCCGCCGCGTCCTCCTCGGACTCCTCCGCAGAGTCGCCTCGAGAAGCTCGGAAAGGCGGAGGCGCTGGATGGCCCTTTTTGGGGACGTAGCTGGGGCTCGAGCTTTCTTGGGTTTCAGCGTCAAGGTTCAGCGGTCTGTCACAAGAAAGTCGCCCCGAATTCAGGAAGGGATTGGGGCCCTCTGCTTGGCAGGTGCCAAGCGGGAAGCGAAAGACTTCCTCTTAAATGGGAACCCCCCCCCCAATGATCAACCAGGGGTGTACGAATCCTTTCAGATCTGTCAAGGGCACGAAGCAAAGTGCCTCCAATATGCCAGCATGTCTTTCTGCTGAGCAAGTCTATGTCCATGGCTAGGGTCGATGGATTCTTGTGGCCTCGTTTGATGGCATGCCACCGCTTCTAATTTGCCCAGCAGCTCTCCACGTCCAAAACGCGCTTGATGATGGCATCGCTGCTCCTGATGAGTCGCCGCCCGGGTCCGCCAGATTGGAGACCCTCCGATGGATTGAGCCCATCGTGCTTCAAACATCAGCGCAACCAGTACAAGCTCAGGTAATGGTCATCAGCTTTAACAGGGCCAAGGTCTGTCATCGCAGTGGTTGTTTAGGATCAGCCCGGCTGGGTACTGGAAGGCTACTGGTTGTCGAAAACTGGACCTGCGCGTGAAGGCGGATCCTCGTCCAAGCTGGATGGACGGTGAGGGCCGTCTCTTGCCAGAATCGCGGAACTGCTTGTCTAGTCTCGGGGCGATTTACAAAGAATGAGAACCCTCCCTCTCCCTTCAAGATCGAAAGGAAACTCAATTCACATCCTGCGTCCTCAAATTCTGGTCCTCTGGACGTGAATGGTGATGTCTAAAGCCACACGACAACACAAAGGCCCTCACTCTCCCCACCCGCGTCGGTCCTCCGGGTCCTGCGGCTTGGGCGCCGGGGATTCGAGAAGACCTGCAAGGACCTGGACGGGAGTGGGAAAGTTCACAGCAACCTGGGAAGATCATGTTGTTTGCTTACGTAGTTGAATACATACATGGTTTCATACATGTATACATGTATCTGTATATGCATGTATGCATATAGAGAGAGAGAGAGAGAGATGGAGAGAGCTGATGTCCATATATATATATATATATATATATATATGTATACATATATATATATATATATACATATATATATATATATATACATGTTTGTTTATGATGCTTCAACGCTTGCACTACACGGGCGAAACAAAATTCGGAGCGCACTCCGCCAGCCTGCGCCAGCGCGGCGCTTCGATGCCATCCGGGGGCAGCGGCCGGGGCAGCGGGGCACCTGAGACTGGGCCAGGTTGGGCACAGCGTCCGAGGGTTTTTGGCTCAGATCCATTTTATACCTTTCCTCCGACAAATAGCAACTGTAGCTTTCTCTTGAAGGGCCCTAGGGAGGGTACTTAATTATCTCTAGTAGTCTGTTTTGGGGGGGGTGCCACCTACCAGGTGGCATGGCTACACAGTCGTAAAGGGATAGTTGCCAAAACAATTCTGTGTGCTCCGGCCAATTTGTCACCTGGGCGCCCATGGATGTCGGGCTTGGCTCTGCGAATTTGTTGCCAAGCTGCTGGGCTGCACCACACGCAGCCGGGCGAAGCTATCGGCAGCCTCCGCGCCCTGAGGGTGCTCCTGCAAAATGAAAATCCCAGCTCCTCATCTTTGGTTGTTCCCGGACACCTCCCGCCATGAACCTGCCTTTGCTTAAAACGCCAAACCGGTGCATCCAAACCCCTCCCCTGAGTTTGAAAGGTCTCGTTTGTAGGGTCGCCATTGCCTGGATTCCATACCAATGGAATGTTTCAACTCGTGACTTCGATGTTCTGCCACTCACCGAGATCAAATGACTGCAATTTAGCCGGGCCCCCCTAGACCTTTTTGGAATTCTTCACCCGTCACCCACGACCCATGTCGCAGCCGGTGGCCCCAACCCAGGCCCGGTCGAGCTGTAACTCCCTTAGACTGCGGCTCTCGTTCTAGCCCTTGAGGTCATGCAGGAAAACACAAACATGCACCCACCATATATCTTGGAAACCAGCTCACGCAATTCGGTGCCGGCTCACGTACTCAAGCCAAAGCAAAACACAGTACCTCAAAGCCAAAAGAATATGGCCGAGGCGGGCAGCGCGAAACGTGTACAATTCCTCCTGGGGATGTTTCTTTTCATTTGAAGGGTGAACTTGAGCGAGTCACTTTAAAAAAGCCAGCGCAAGGACACGGGTCTGGACCCCTCAAAATGGGTCAGCACCTATCAATCAACCAGAGCTTCATTGATCCCGGGTGCCGATTGAACACGACATGGACGCCCATGGCCTTCCCAAACCAACCGTAGACTACTGATGATACTGTCAATTGCTCTAGCGCTTGCTTTTGGTTTGCGTTTGCTCGAGCAGGGCCTTCAAAGCCACGCCGACAGCCTATTATGTGCTTGAGTTTCCGCTTTTGCAAGTTGAGTCGAGCTAGACCCGGGGGATGGAGACTGTGTGGCAACCAAGCGGGCGATAGGATGGGACGCCAACACCTAAGGTCGCAACTGGCCTCAGTGCCGTCCGCTACTTGCGGTCCGTCCTCTGCTCTCTGCCAAGAAAAGCGGCTGCTGGGCAGCCGCAAGTCCAAATAGTGCTGCGACAAGGCCTGGCAGGCGCGGCAAAGAGCCCCAATGGCCCTTTAGGTCCATCCGTCGGGTTGCTCACCCAGCCGTTCTGAACGCTCCTTCTAAACAAACCAACCCTAAAAAGCCACCCCACTGCCCTGCGTCCACATGACCAAGTCCAATCATAGTCAGGAGCCTTTGCCTCTACCCTGATTACTGGGCCGTGGCTGAAGAAAAGGCTGAGCCGCACCCATTCCTGCCTCATCATTTTGAAGAGGCTTCTCCGGAAGCACTAGGAAGCCTGCAGCCCGCGCCTCACAGGACTGTGAAACTGATGCGCAAACTCCCCAACGCCTGAAATCTAATAAAAAGCACAGCGGACAGCTTGACAGCCTCGCAGCCGACTTTGAGCACGCACCTTCATTTGGCGAAGGGGAGCCATCCTTGTGGGGCGCTGCCATACATTCGGGTTTGTCCCAGAATTGGGAACCCTGCCCAGAACTGGTTCTTGTTGGGTTTTCCTTTCGAACAAACACGCGCACAATCAACAAAACGAGGCTCCCTGAAGCTCAGAGAGCGCTTCCCGCTTCGGTCAAAGGGCCTCTTTCACGAGCTGCGGCTTCAACTCTTCTCTTCGGGGCGCCATGGCCCGTGGGGCATTGCCGCAGGCGGCGCCGGTACATACCGCAAAGTCCTTGTGCCTAAGAAGCTAAGCAATGCTCGGAGCATGAAAAGTTGAATCTGCACTTTCTGCTGGCTGGAGGTCATTGGGGCCGAACAACGGACATTTCAAAAAGTTTAAGCACGGCCGCTCCCTAAATGTGTGGTGGTATGTGGCGTGAAACTGAGCCGGTATGAAACGTTCCCAAGGCGCGGGCGACTGACTGCAAGGCGAACATCTGAGCTCCCATTATCAGTAAGAAGTCCTGTGATGGTGTGTTGGGCAGACTTCCTGTGCTGGCCAAGGACAAAAGACAGTTCCCAGTGGCGCAGTAGTGCTAAAAAATCACCTTGCCCCGTTTCACTACATGACTGCTCCTTTGGATGACATCTCAAAATGTCACAAAGAAGCAGACCTCATCCAAGAATCTGAGCTGGACAAAGCTGGTCTGGGCTTGTCGGGCTTTCGAACCCCCTCTCATGTAGCTTAACCCCACCCCCACCCCCACCCCAAGTTCAGCACTACGTCCCCCCTCCGGCTCCAACGCCAGTGTTTTCAACCGACACTAGGATGACTCTAAAGCATCGTGATTGTCGGAAGACCACATGCATCCCTCGAGGACTTGGCATGTGATCAGTTGGTTCGATCGCCCCGGGAAAAAAAAAAAAAAAAACGTAGGCGACAAATCCCTCAACAAGAGAAGGCAACAAACCCTGCTCAACGCCGCGACGGCTGAGCACACTCCGCCTCTGCGTCAAGCTATTCCTCAGTTCAGTGCGGGCCTTCACAGGGCCCTCCAATCGCAACCAAAGAGTTGGAGATAGGGGAAAGGGGAAAGTGATAATGAGACTAGTGTGTGTGTGTGTGTGGTCTGCATAGAATGGCACTGCTGGGCATTGCTGACCACTGCTTGATTTTGAGCCCAGGGCTGAAGGCAGCGATACGATGCAAACACTACAATATGAGGAAGAACAAGCATGGCCCACAGAACCAGCTGCCTCGAAGCCGGGTGCTCGAACTATACTTGTGCACCTAGAAAAGTATGGTTGTCTCATGGCCGGCCCTCACGGCCGCCCTCATGGCCGCCCCTTTGGCCCGAATTCTGACACTCCCTCACTCGTGAACACGGCCTCAACAATACAGAATAAACAAATGGGCTGTGCTGACATCTTGACTCGCTGGCACTACTCGGATGTGGCTACACTGGCTACCCCGATGAAATGAGCTTGGGCACCAGTGCAGGAGCGATACAGTGGTGTGGCCCGGGCTGCACCGGCCGTGAATTTAGCACTGGTGCGGGGGCGATGCGGTGGTGCGGACAGGTTGGGATTTGGCGGGATCCACAGGAGCACTGGTGCTCGGGTAAGACCGTGCGGTTGTTTCCAAAAGCGGCGGTGAGATTGCGCGAAACTGCCTGGGAACTCCCAAGCCTGTCCAAAATAGCTAGAGTACCGCTTTCTGAAAAAAGTGGCGCGGCTCTGTTCGGGCAGCCAGCACTCTTTCGACGGCAGCTGTCGGGGTTCGCAAGCCGCCAAAATGCGCCAGCAACTGCCAGACCGCATCAGCTTGAGCTGGCACGCAAGTCGTTTTGGTGAAATTTGGGACGCTGGTTGTTCGAACAGGAATAGGGCCACGCCATTCTTTGACAAAAGCGGTCGGGCAGCACCACTGGGATTCGGAGACTGTTGACAGACCGGCAAACCTGGCACGGTTTCAATTCCGTTTGCTTCGTCCTCACCGGCTGGCTTTGTTTCGCACTCTTTCGGGGTTGTTTAACAGGGAAACCAAGGAGAGTTCCCTCATCCTAGGCTGCTTAAGGTTGCTGTTGGAAAAGAGACCCTGGCACAAGGGCAGAAATGTGGCCAATAGAAAAGAAACACCAAGAACAACCAAACCAATTTCTACCCAAACGTGATTTGATCATTGTGTTGAGGGTCAGAGTACCCTGTATTGGACGCTTTTTGAGGGGGGCCTTCTCAGGTTGGTTGAAAGGGAAACCAAAAAGGAAGCCGCCATTTTGGAGGTTCACGGTATACCTATTTTGGCGCATGCCCAAATTTTGTGTCACTGCAACCCTGGGCCCCCAGGCAGCCACTGCAAGGGCCGCGCTGATCGATGCACTTGAAGCATGTAGCCAGCGCCCACCCAGGGGAAGCGGCCTCCATACCGCCTCAGGGCTAGCCAACTCGGCTGTGGAACAAAGAAGCAAGCCCCCTTTCTCAGATCCTGAAGCTTGACCCACATCCTCTTCAACTTCAATGGAAAAACACACCAACCCCCGGGGTGGACGTTGCGGGGGGGTTCAGGTAGCGCTTCCCAGCTCATGCTGGATGTCCCATGTCCGAGCCCAAGGCTCCAAAGGTATCGTCGAAGGCAACGACGGCCTCGCAGACTTCGAGGCGTCTGCTTCCGCTCAACTTCACCACGCATGCCTTCTTTGCAACATTCAAGTGGACGCAAAGGTTTCCCAAAAGGGCAGTATTCCCACACTTCCTGTCAGCTATGATGGTTGGAGCGGTCTTACGCCGTCGGTCAAAGTAGAAATCCTGAGACCAGACTTCAAGAGTTTGAAAACTGTGGCACTTTGGAGAACACTTTTAGCTGCCATGGATTCCAAGATAATGCTCAGTTGAACAGAGGGAGCAAGGGCGTGCCCTTTGCGCTTTTGCCTTTGCTCGGTGCTTTTCAGACTTTTTCCGTGAGCGTTTTAAGCTTGGGTGCCCATGGCAGCAGGTCACAAAACAAGAGCTGTCACGGCCAAGTTGAAAAACTCACGGGGCTAGACGGAATCTGTGCGGTGCTTCTCCGATGGTTGCCCATGTTTCTTCGGCTCCCTAAGCGGATGCCAGCTGCCCAAGATGCCTGCTCTTGCATCTCTCCCGTGGACTTTCACCTGGATGCAAGCGTCAGAAGACTCCAAGCAAGGCAAATCAACTACGGACATGGCGAGGCATTGGCTGCATTGCTCAATTGAATCCCGATGGCACAAGGACTCAGGGCAACCGTCACTCATCGTTTCATCGTGGCAAAAGTACTTCCCTCTTCCTCACGGAAAGAGTCGAAATGCTGGATGCTCCACGCAAACCAAACAGTATTCATCAGGCTTTCGGAGTGTATCCTTGTGCGGATGAACTTGGCAAGACGTGGGGTGCTTGGTCCCAACCGTTGAAGTAGCCTCGAGGATTCGTCTGGGCCCACCCGGGAACAATCGATGCTGGCTCTTGCCTTCTGGTTTCGCAACCTCGAGAGCCATGGCAACACACCAGGCTGTGTCAAGCTGTGAGATGGGAGACGCCCACACCAGAAACACGGTGCACATGGGTCTGCCGCAAATCAATGAGAAACGATCCAAGGCGTGCGGCCTGAGTTCCTCTCTTGTCCAACTAGTGAAACTGGCAGAGTGTCATTCAGACCTTAACAATAGCTCACCGATATCCCGCTCGTGTTGTGTTCGAACGGTCTTGGCTCAGGTTGCCGTATGTTTCTGGTCTGTTCAGCACGATTGGAGCCCGCATGAGTTTCGGCCGCGAAGCAATGACGGCAAGGGCAAAGAGAGCAGCACGTGAAGGCCTTGCTTTTGGCCTGGCCTTGAAACCACCTAGATGTCAAGCAAATACAACTGTCTGATCCAACATGCTGTCGCAAGTCTCCGTCAGCTGAGCAACGCTTGTCTCAGTCCATACAAGCGTTGCAACATTATCACTTGTAACAAGCCTCTTAAGGCATAAAGCACAGATTTCTGTTGACGCTTTCCTGGGGCCATCACCGTCTAGGGAGAGGAGTGTGGCCTACTCTCTAGAGGCTTCCACAAATGGCTCCCTGCTTCCTGCTTGTTTCCCTTCAAGTCCACTCAAAGGGCAATGGGTCCCGCAACCTTTCCATCGAATCCCAACTACGCAAAGCTCCTTTCCCTGGATTGTCATTTTTCCCTCATCTTCTCTTCAATACCACCTCAGCTTTGCCCCCAACCAAAACCAGGACTCCGGGCCAAATTGTGTGAACCTGAAAAAACGCGATGTCAGAAGTAAAAGACCGAAAGTTGCAAAGGCAAACCCGCTTTACACCCACGAGAACCCCTGAGAGTGCAGCACTGTTTGAAGGGGAACGCTCCGGGCGATCAATCCCGAGCCGTGACCGCAAGCGCCCCAGGCAAAAAGGGAGGGGCGACCATGAGCGGCACCAGCTCGGAGCGGCTCAGGCTCTCCACCAGCTGATCCTGCCGAGAATGGGAGGAACAATCGAGGAGCTCAAGCTAAGCTAAGCTGTCGTGCCCGAAGATGTTCCCAGGTGTGGGTGTAAGGGTTAATTTTAGATAGCTTTAAGCTTGAGACAGCTACAATGCTGTGGGATTCCAGAAAATAACGAAGCAAAAGAAGGCTCAACAGCTCAGAAGCGCTGACACCTAGTTGCAGCCACACAAAGGGCGAAAAAGCAATGCTTGGGGCAGCTCATCCCATGAGCTCGGTGCGGTGCAAAGCATCTGCCCAGTGAGGCGCCCCATTTTGCAGGTCGCAGCAACATCTAGCGCGTCGTTCGCGGCCTTCTCTGTGGCAAAGCCAGGTCAAAACGCTGGGGCCCGCCCCGCTTCCTCCTTATATGATTTACAATGTGGGGAGGGCCGCTTTGTTGTCTTGCTGGGCCCTCCAGACAGTTCTTGGGGGTGGGGATGCAAATAATTTGGGTTCGTCAGTGTCAATCTGTTTGGCGAACAAAGCGTACGTGTCCGTCACTCTGATCAATGGGCGCCTTGGTGATATGACGTAGGTCATGCTTCCTTGAAAAGGAATCCTTGTGGTTGTCTAAATTCCATGGCGTGGACAAGCTGGTTCAACACACCAATCAAGTCATACCCCTGCCACTGTGCACACATGACCCAGCTTCTCACCTGCACTGGGTATGGTCGTAGCAACTCCAAAAAGACACACACCGAAACATATGGCTTCATCCAACTGGCGCAAAGTGGATATTGTCCATCTTGCAACCAGCCCCACCGACCAGCCTGCAGCCTCGGCGCCATCACCAGTCCATCGGCACGCCGGGGCCCCAGAAGCGCCACCTGTCAGACATCTAAATGTCAGTAGGAACTGAAGAGCTGCCTGTGCGTGCGCGTGCGTGCCCGCGTGTCCCCGTGTGCTTGGATTGCGCTTGTGTGTTGTATTTGTATTGCTGTTTCCGTTTGTTTCTGTTTCTACTTCTGCTTCTGTTTCTGGTGGTGTTTGTGTTTGGGCTTGTGATTGCGTTGTGCTTGTGTTTGCCTGCGAGCTTTCTGTTTCTGTGTGTGCGAATGTGCGTGAGAGTTGTTATTTGTTGGGATACCCCTGTCCTGGTTGATTCAAAGGGAAACTAAAAGGAAAGCACCGGTTCGCCCCCGCCCGTTTAGACACATACCCCTTTGACTATTGACCTGCATGAAACGAGTAAACCTCCCGGCTTATTCAATCTGGATCCGTAAGCCCTGGTACCAGGGACACCACTGCTATCTGGCACGGGGATTTGGATTCAGGACTCGGATTAAGGATTGACTTTTGAACCCAGTTAAAGGGGTAAACTTCCGGTGTGACCCAGACCGAAGGCCTGTAGCTGGTTTAAAACCAAGAATAGCTGAAGGGATCTCGGGATTCATAAACCCTGGCTGATGAATCTGTGTTGGAGGGAATCCTTCACTTAACACCCCTGTTAGTCCGCAAGGTTCATTCACCCGGAGTCGACATTGCCGCCATTGAGTGCAAGAATGTGTAGGAGAAGTCACTGGCATGATACACAAAGGTGGGCAAAAACATAGAACGCCTGCCCCTCCCTGTACTGCCTGGCCCTCCTTGTTTGTAGTGAGGATACGCCTCACCACTGTTCATCATTCTTCCCGCATGTTGAAGCTTTAGATTGGTGATCGGTTGGAATCAAGAAGGTGTCCAGCACAAAATTGAGAGGGGAGGGCGCTGCATTGTTTGTTGCATACAACAGGCAAGATGATGCTTTCATTCAGCCTCTGGCAAGTCCGCTTAACCGGAAAGCCAACTCAGCCTCTTCACAATTTGCTACTAGGTCCGGACGAACACGGGAAAATGAACGCCGGAGCTAAACAAGGTGCAAACAAATCTTCTCCCGCCACCGGTGGTAGTTTGTTCGGGATGACCCGGGTGTGGACTCTACTTCTTGGCTGAAGTCTTGCCGCCGGCGCTCTTTTCCCCTCCGCCTTTCACACGCGGCAGGAGCTATGGCAACGGAAGCGCCACGGGTGCTGGTGTCCCGTGAGGCACGCCAAGCACTGATGTAGCCTCGACCATTACGTCGTAACGTCGCTCTGGGGTACAAGGGCAGCTCGGCAAGAGAAGTTTTTCCGACCAAAACCTCAGAATCACTCATTCGGATCTCAGTCTCTGGAGCTTCTCCCTCACAAGCCTCTCAGCTTGGAAAATCCCTCCGGCGCAGCGTGCACCATCCGCGCCGCGCGTCCCAAATTCCCAGCTCAAGGGGCATTGTTTCTGATGGATGTTAGGGCCGCAGGAGACCAGCTTTTCACACTAGAAATTTCGAGGGTCCCCCATCTCCCTCCCAACTGGAACATAGATTGTTGGATTGGTTGACTGGGCCTCGCTTGAATCCGTTGCTATGCCAGCAATGCTCTGCGGAGAGTGCGTAGAACATCTCTGACGTACTCCTTCAAGCAACATACCCTTAACAGCCAGATGAGCAGCGCCCCCCAAACCGCCTTGGTTCTACCCTGTTCAGAGGTTATACTCTCAATAATTCCTACTGGGTTCAGTAGAAAGAAGCAATGAAGAGAAGAACAGCCGCAAGCACAAGAAGAAGAACAACCAAAATGAGCTTCACAGCCAAGGCGTTTGGGCGCAAAAGGCCTCCGGTTTAGCTTCGGAGTGCTGACGAGTGCAGTGGTTGCGATGCTTGCTGAACGTGAAGAGCTCATGTCAGGTCTTGCCAAGATGCGCCAAAACCGTTGGGAAAGCAAATCACTGCCGTCTTCCCCGTGTCTTCTGTCCTCTTCCTATTTATGCCCCCGGCCGGCTACGCATCCGCCAATGCGGACATGTTAGCCCTCGGCGGCTTGAGTCGCGGCTTGCAGATTTGGAGGAGCAAAAGCCTCAAGAAGCAAAAGTGAAGTTGCGCAAATGGACTCCATGCAAATGGGCTCATAAAAATGCCCAAATATACGGGTCAGTCTTGTCAAAGGTTTCTGGTGTCTTTTTGGTTGCGCGAGCATGTTGAATTCAATCACCGGTTTGTGCTTGCCCGATTCCTTATCCTTGACTCCCCAAGATGAGATCAGTTCGACACTTGGTCTGCGGCTGAGTACTCGCCCAGCCACGCAAGGATAGCCTGGGGCTTAGTCAAACCAGAAGCGACTGGAAAAGGCTCCAGCAAAAGAAAACACAATGTTGGCTTCAAGTGGTCGACTAGCGATGCCATTAAGAACCACCAGTGGCAAGCTATAGTGCACAGCAATTGTGAAGGGCCGGTCAAAGTGCAATCTTGCATGGCAGTTTTCGCTTTTCGTTACAAATGCGGAGCTGCCCCCCCCCCCCCCACCCTCCCAACCACACACGCACACACACACACACTCACACGCACACACGCACTCAAAGCGATGGAGATGGAGAGCGCCAAACTCCCATGCTCATGAAGATACCCTCCACCCAAGGAAAAGTGCACAGGGCCAATTTCCAAAAGGACAGTAATCTTCCAACAGACAGCTCTGCAAACCACGTTTGTTGGGGGGGTGTTTGCGCCTCACATCTGGGTTCCGCGGCTGACAAGGTGGCTGGGCCCTCGTAGGTCAAGAACTCCACCGCAGCGCCTGTCCATGTTCTGGGGGCTCTCATGTGCGCGGGCGAAACTCCTGCGGGCTATGGTCATGGCTCACTATTGGATTGGGAATCACCGGAATCACCGATCATGGTGGTCAAGCAAAGGGGTCCTTTGACCGCGGTACATGTGAAAAAAGCCAAGCCAAATCTCGGTGTCCATAAGGGCGCAGTTGCACATCTTGCCCAGCGAGAGCGGGAGGTTTTCACGTTGGACCCAGAAACGACAACTCCATTTGGCCGAAACCGCGCCGAAAGCCCCGGCGGGCCTGATTCTCCAGTGTCCTGAAACCGATGCAAGAGCTGACCAAGGGCCAGTTCGTTGGGAAAAGGATCCTTGACATGGAGTTTGGGGGTCAAACTGGCTAGCTGTGCTCAACCAGCACCACTATGGTTGCGGAAAGTTGCTTTTACGATAACAAAATCGGATTTCCATGGCAATGACTAGCTTGTCACTTAGGAGAGTCCCTTAGTACCGAAATTGGCCCCAAAACCATCTTGATTCTCGATGGCTTGATACCCTCTCAAATACAATGGAACCTGAAAAGGAACCCCTGGAAGACCATTTCCTCCACGCACGGACCCTCTTTCACCTTCCATGTTTGTTTTCGGAAAGGTTTGCGGGAATCAAACCATATCTGCCAAACTGCTTGATTCAAACTAGCATGTGTCCACCCACCAAAACCGGTTTTTTAAATCTGCCAGTGTTCGAGCTGGTTCACAAACTGAGCCGAAAGGAGCCTCTGATCAACTCTCAGTTGTTCCAGGCTGTGCTCAAATCCTGTGCAGGCAGCCACAATGCGAAGGCCTTGCCTTCTTTGCACGGCAGAAGACCAGCGTGGGAAACCTTGACCCGTTCGGCAGAGCGATCGCTCGAGGAAATGTGGAGGCAAAACTCAACAGTCAAGCTCTTGTACCCAAAGGAGAATCCTCCAAAACTGCTCTGATGGCATGGTTGGACAATACACTGGTAAATTGCAAGAGTCTTTCCTCCAAAGGGACAACTTGAGAAACGGCAGGCGGGCTTTGATACAGTTGCAGGCGCGTCGTCTCAGCACAGGAATCTATGAGTGTTCTCCGATTTTGTGCAAGAGAGCGCTCAGCTTCGGACTGCCGCGTCGGAGGTAGGTCTGGATGCCTGGCAAGCATCTTACCAAGGCGAATGACCGAACGAAAATCGGCGTGAGGAGGAGAGGCGCATGAAGTCTGAAAGTTTGCCGAACAACTGTAGATAAGCATTGTCAAGCCAACAACAACGCGTGCTTGCACTTAACCAAATAGCTTTGAACCATTTTGAGTGCTTCAGCCAGAACGCTGGCAAACCAATTCGCACAAGACCCCCCACTGCAGCACTTTCTCTTCAAGATGCCCATAGTCGACAAACCCCGTGACAAAGTGAACTGATGGTGATGGTGTCAACTCGGTCTCCCACACCCAGTACATCCTCATTGTTTTCCTGTGAGCAGCTTCTTAGGTGTCCTTTTGGGGATACAGAGGGCATTGGTCAACGAGTAAACTGAAACGGAAACCAGGGCCATCTATGTTCAAGCAAACTGACCAAAGAGGATACCCAGGCTTCTCTGCTGCAGCTGCTTCAGCGAGTGCAACGGCAAGCGGCCACTAGCCACTGGCCCAGAAAACAGCGCCGGCAAGGCTCGTTCTGCATTGCGTCCATCTGCGCGAGCTGCAAATCCTGCGCAAGCTCCAGGCATGGCTACATAAAGGTAATACATTATCTCAGGGTTGGACTGGCCCCATAGCTTTGACATCAGCAAAGTCAGTCAAAGTAATGACCCTACTTAGACAAGGCGATACACTCTTTGTCTATGAAAGAGAGTAAACAAACAAGCACATGCAAACGTCCGCCTTGTCATCCGTCAAGCCTTTGGGCTCCATGCAACTTTTCATGCAGCGACTCCTTTTGCTGTGGATCTGGGGCAAGGGAGTCAGACCTTCTCAGAGCTTTTGCTGAGCTGCCCTGTCCAATCTATCTGGGGAGACTCTACCTCAGGAGGTCGTTGTGTGAGGGATCATGCAACAGTTCGATAGCTATCCCGCACGGACCTCTCGATCCTTTGGCAATTTGCCACCTGTGAGCTGGCCCCCAGCGATCCCTGTCCTTGACAGTTCCATTCCGAGGGCCTCCGAGAGGCGAGGTTGGCTCGGGGCAAATGGCCGAACCTAATTGGGTATTCCTCAAAATCGGGGACCCCTTTTTGGAGAGTTTGAAAAAGAATGAAAGCTGAATCAGCCACCAAGAGGGGTCACGAATTTCTAGACCAGCATCTTGGAGATGCGGAGACCGCATGAGTAGCCTGCTGCAAGCGCGAACGGTCGATCTCATTCCTGGTTGGGAACCGAACGTTGACCCGATCCTCGCTTCCCGATACTTTGCCGCAGGTGTTCGCTTCGTGGGAGGCAGGGAAAAAACCCGTCAGGCTTGAGATACCAAACTCCAGTCCCCGCCTGTCGCTGCCTGAATGGCCGCGCTGAGCTGGTTCCAAAGCCAAAAGAAGTGCAGCCTGGCGATCGGGGCCCAGAGGATCCAAGCCTCAAGAAAGCTTCGGGAAAGAGACGCTAGGAACTCCTTTGAGGGATCCAGAAAACCCGGAATTCAACCACCGGTTGAGCCAGGGTGTCCCATCCAATCCTCTTCTATTGAGAGGTCAGGGTGAAAGTACATGTTACAACTTATGCTCTGTGGGCGAGTAAAGGTGAGAAAACCAAAATGGGGGGGATGTACCACGTCATTTCACCGTAACCCCCCCTCCCCCCCAAATCATCCCACTGGTTTGAAAATCCGAGGTCGATATTGCCGACAATTTCAACAGCTCTTCTCACGTGCCGGAGTGTCGAGTGGCTGCAAAAGGGTGCGTAGAGCAACAGCAGCACCTGGCCAGACGTGGAACTGCCGCAGCTCAGAATCCATGGAAGGTCCCAAAAGCAAGTCTGCCTCTCACCTTGGCAACTGCCCCAATATAAGCTAAGCATCATATACAACCGGGCTTTCTCAACTTGCCCCGAAGAACATGTGATTTTCCCCTTTGGGGGGTCCCCCCAACGGGCGCCCTTCCTCAGGCAGCCTCCACTCAGGTGGATGGCCAAGAAAGGGGGCATCCCCTTTGTGGAAGCAGCACAAGGTCAGAGCTTGCTTCACCTTGGATGTGCTTGTTGTTCTCACCTCGTGTTTCCTTAAAAAAACCAAAAAAGGCCATTGGTCCATGCCCCCTTTTTCAGCCCCGCCCCCATTTTTCTTCGGCACAAATGTCCGGAGCGCCTCCGACTCGTTGGCCTTCACGGGCTGCAGCAGCTCCAAGTCCACGGAGGAGCCGCAGAGCTCCTTGACCTCGGCGTTTTGCGGTTTCCTTTGTCGGTGTTCAGACTCCCGATTGGAGCCGAATCGGTGTCGTTGGTTCGGATTGGGGTTTCCCATTTAGCCTCCGCAAAAGCCAGGGGTTCGAATCCAAACAATCCAAACCACCAACCAAGGGAAACCTGAAGTTTGAGCTAGTGGTGGTGGAAAGAGCACGAAACAAACCTAACATCTATCAGTTTAAGCTCATGGTGGGAAATGGCACCCGAAATCTGTGCAGGAATGAACCATACAACTTTGTCAGTTTCGAAAGGTTTTCCCTTGGTATCACAATGGCAAACCCGAACTTTCCACAGCCATGCCTCGCATTGCCGAATCGACGGAAAGATACGGAAAGTACTGGTGATCTGGGAACCATCTCTTTTCAGGCCATCCCCGGGAAGGGTGACTGGGAGACTGGCTCCACGTATTGAGTCCGGTTGAAAAGCAGCTTCTGTGCCGTTGGATTAGTTGGGTTGCAACCCCCTCTTACAGGGGGGGAAGCAACTGCAAGTGGCTGCCTGAAGTGTGCAGTGGAGACTCCTTTATGGAGGATGTGCAGCCAGTTGTCCCTTTGGGAGGAGATTGGGCAGCTCATGGTTGCCAAATGGGGACAATTCGTGTGTGCGTGTGTGCGTGTGACCCCGCACCCCCCTTCCCTCCTCAGGTTTCCCTATTCTGTCCCGTTGAAAGCATCACCCCACCCAAAGGCCGAGAAAGATCCTAAGGAGCCCCGGTTCCTTCGTGAAATGCTGCCACTCAGGGACAATCACCGGCAGTTTTCGTCCCTGAGCATCCGGCCCCCGGGCTCGCCAGCTCGGGCCTTTTGGTGGACCGGACATAGGGTGAAACCCGGCCATCCTGGTGCGGCTTCGCAAGAAACAAACCAGCCCCGGCCTGACTGCCCTCCAGGGCACCTAGGAAATACATCCATTCCAGAGGCACCCAAACGCGTTCGAGGCCGCTTTGCTGGGCTGTGCCTCAGGTCGCATGTTCTTTGCTTCAACACCTCGGGTGCTCCATTCACATGATCCCACTCGGCCTGAAACCAAACAACAACTACAAGTTGGTTCTTGGTAGGGGAATAGACCCCTTGCAACCAAACTGCCACCACCATTATGGAATTCCTTCCCAAAATACCACCTCAGATCGGCCGATTCAAACCCGCCGAATGTCACCAGCACGGCGTCGGTGAAGAGGCACAGCGCCAGCTCATCACCAGGACACCAGCCTACCAAGGAAAATTTCTGGTGACATCCTCAAAATACTTCAATGGTGGGTTGGGGGAGCCGGGTGTTGGGAGGGGTTCCACTGAAGGTGACATCCCCAAATGATCTGCCCAAAATAGTGGAGCAAAGGAACACCACCAGGTCCCAAAATGGGAAATCCTCTGGTCATATCCAATACTTGCAAGGTCGAAAAGTGCCCCTTTCCCCAACAATACAGCTTAGCCACTAAAACCAAAGCACCCGAGCAGAAATCACGCCAACAACATGGTCACCAAGGATTATGTAGGCCCTACTACAACCTGAGGACAACCGGGCTACCCACCAAACAAAACAGGTGTTTCGCGCGCCCACCTCAGGTCGCACACTGGCAATTGAGCAAAAGGAAGAGATGTCGGCTTGCACACAGCCCGCCGAACACCCAGCGCCTGCGCCACCAGGTGCAGGATACTTGCGCCGGGTGCGGGTGTTGAAGAGAGAAGTTGCGAATAGCACTCGGCGGGAGGCCTGTCACGTGGATGATATGGCTTACCTCTTGGACGTGCAGTCGGGCCGGAGTCTGCCAACTCCGCTTGGCCCCCCCAAACAAGACCTCATGCTTATCCAGTTAGTAAATAGTGCGAGAGGCAATGCCAAACCCACATGCCCCAGCATCCCGTGGCAAGTTGCCAGCCTCCTCTGTGTCCTCCAAGGCTCGACAGCCTGACCTCAACGAGGGCCCGCCACTTGCAGCCAGGCAGAGATCACTGCAAAGTCGCAAGAATCTGATCCCGGCACACCGCGGCTCAATAAAAAAATCCGTCTCTGGCTGAGTCAATGAGACCTTTGACGCAACCTTCGACTCATTCTGACCAGGAAGGTGCTGGACCGGAGATGGGGTGCCCTTCAAACCCGAACACTTGGCCTGGAAACATGTTCGGAGTCTAAAAAACATCTCCCAGGTCTGGGGCACCCTGCTGCGAATCGCCTGCCAAGATTTGGCACGGAGCAAAGGAGATGACCCTTGTGGATGGACAAATCTCCACTTCGCGCCGGCTGGTAAGTGCATCCCTCCATCAACTGCAGGATTTTGTCCACAGGTTCCAAGTTGTCACTTCGAATTGGAAGAGCTTTTTGGGGGACGCTCTTTCAAGGCGGCACCAGTCACCCTGGTCCCAGCAAAGCGCACTGTTTGTTTGGTTTGGCAACATGTCCTCCCTTTTCAAATCTTGACGCCTACTCCAGCTCTGCTCGCTAGACACTTCAAAGTTGAGCGATGGAAACCCTCAGACCTATGATCTTCGGAAGCAACACGTCAAACTTCCCAGCATCCCAAGGTCAGACTACTGTATCCTCAAACATGAAATGCAACCTCAACTCATAATTGCGTTGAGGAATCGGTGCAGACTTCCTTCATATCAATAATTGAACTTGCGCAGCTTCAATAACGTGGGCAGCGATTCAGAATGATCAAAGCAGCACCGTAACGTGTGCATTGCGCCTTTTTCTCGCTGCCAAACGCTGTATCTGGCGCTTGAGCACGCCATGTGGGGGGGGGGGGGGCGCAATGTAGAGCCGGCATTCCTGATGCGACTTTCCATCCGAACACCCGCGCTTCACCTTTTACCAGGGCTTGGCCTAGGGCTTGGACTAGGGCTTGGCCTGGGTGGGCTTGGCCTGGGTGGGCTTGGCCTGGGTGGGCTTGGCCTGGGTGGGCTTGGCCTGGGTGGGCTTGGCCTGGGTGGGCTTGGCCTGGGTGGGCTTGGCCTGGGTGGGCTTGGCCTGGGTGGGCTTGGCCTGGGTGGGCTTGGCCTGGGTGGGCTTGGCCTGGGTGGGCTTGGCCTGGGTGGGCTTGGCCTGGGTGGGCTTGGCCTGGGTGGGCTTGGGCTTGGCCTGGGTGGGCTTGGGCTTGGCTTGGGTGGGCTTGGCCTGGGTGGGCTTGGCCTGGGTGGGCTTGGCCTGGGTGGGCTTGGCCTGGGTGGGCTTGGCCTGGGTTGGCTTGGCCTGCTAGGGCTAGGGCTTGGCCTGCTAGGGCGAGGGCTTGGCCTGGGTTGGCTAGGGCTTGGCCTGGGTTGGCTTGGCCTGCTAGGGCTTGGTCTGGGTTGGCTTGGCCTGGCTTGGCTTGGCCTGCCAGGGCTAGGGCTTGGCCTGGGTTGGCTTGGCCTGCTAGGGCTTGGCCTGGGTTGGCTTGGCCTGCTAGCGCTTGGCTTGGGTTGTTGGCTTGGCCTGCTAGCGCTTGGCCTGGGTTGTTGGCTTGGCCTGCTAGCGCTTGGCCTGGGTTGCCTTGGCCTGCTAGGGCTTGACCTGGGTTGGCTTGGCCTGCTAGCGCTTGACTTGGGTTGGCTTGGCCTGGGTTGGCTTGGCCTGGGTTGGCTTGACCTGCTAGCGCTTGGCCTGGGTTGGCTTGGCCTGCTAGGGCTTGGCCTGGGTTGGCGTGGCCTGCCCAACGTCCGCCTGCGACGACGTCCGATCGAGCTAGCGCTTGGCCTGGGTTGGCTTGGCCTACTAGGGCTTGGCTTGCCAGGGCTTGGCTTGGTAGGGCTTAGCTTGCTAGGGCTTGGCCTGCTAGGGGTTGGCTTGCTAGGGCTTGGCTTGCTAGGGCTTGGCTTGCTGGGGCTTGGCCTGGGTTGGCTTGGCTTGCTAGGGCTTGGCTTGGTTTGGCTTGGCTTGCTAGGGCTTGACTTGGGCAGTGGTGGGTGCTCCCTTTGGGCTTGGCTCTGTCTTGGGCTTGGCTTGGTTTGGCTCTGGCTCTGCCACGACCGCGCGGGCATGAACTGCCCGGGCATGAACTGCCCGGGCATGAACTGCCCGGGCATGAACTGCCGCCGCCTTCTGCGGAAGTGCTCTGGCTCAGGGAGCCATTCTTCGGAGGCCTTCTGCGCAGCATGTCTGAGTATCAATGTTCGCAGAATCTTCCACGGTCCGGTGCCGTTGGCTCCTCGCGTCTCATTCTGAGACTCTACGTGTGACTCGTTAGCCTCTGCTGTCCTGTTTTGCCACCTTTGGATGAACTTTGGAATCAAGCGCATGCTTCCGTCCTTGCCCCCAGGCACCCTACAAAGGCTGCCCATCATGCAAAGAATCCAGATACTGCAAAGGCAACTCAACCACCGAAATGCCATTCTAGATCTTCGTTGCCTCCTCAACTGAGATTGCCGCAAGCCAGGAAGCCACGTGACATCCATGTTGTTCGAGCTGTGACCTATCCGTTTGCCCTCCTTGCTGCTCATCGCGGCGCGGGACAACTGCGGTTTTTTTCTCGCAGATCGGCGAGCACGATTCCTGAACTCGATCACGTTGCATTGCATGGCAGGCAGGGATCTCAGAATTGTGGCTTTCCAGGTTGAAGGCTGGGTATTGCAAGGCTGGGTTGCAACTATGCTGTCTTGACGAACTTGCCAGGTTCGGTGTCGATTTGGGTTCGGTGTCGAACTTGAAATTCAATCATTGAGCGATCAAGTGTCTATTTGATTGCCAATGTCCTGCTGACTGAGCCGCTGATATTGCCGAAGGTCCCGAACTTCCCTCCTTCTGTCCAAAAACAGCGCTGCCCAGAGCACAAGTCTACCGCGCAGAAGCTAACATCAAGCAGCTTCCAGGAGGCTTCTGTCGGCTACACAACACCACCAGAGTTTGTGTTTTTTTTGGGGGGGGCCTGTGGTGGATATTATCTACATGAAAAGGTCTATGTCTACCCACCATTGTTTGGCGTTCCAGTGTCACAACCGTCAACATTCACAGCCATATGGAAACAACGCCAGCCTTTGTTTTCCCGTTGTTTTACCTTTAGTGTCCCTTTTCAACTAAACATCCCTGGCTGCTTTTCTGGACCCAAATGGCAGTGGATCAAAAATAGGTGCCCTTCCAATGGTACATGGAAACATGGACTAAAACCTGCGGTTTTCTGGTGGTTCAATTTGGACCCATACCCAAACGGGGATTTTCCTTTCCCCGAAGCCTCCCGCCCCTCGCCTTCGCGAGGCAGCGGCAGCGTGGGCTCAAACGACCCCAGCCCGAAGGAGGCCCGGAAGGCGGCGATGTCCTGCGGGCGTCGAAGTCGACGGCCAAAATTCGCACGTGAACCGATTCGCACGGAAGACCTCTCTTGCGCTATAATAGAGCCATTAGGATTGGTTTCCAATAGTGTTGTTTAGCCATTAGGATTGGTTTCCAATAGTGTTGTTTAGCCATTAGGATTGGTTTCCAATAGTGTTGTTTAGCCATTAGGATTGGTTTCCAATAGTGTTGTTTAGCCATTAGGATTGGTTTCCAATAGTGTTGTTTAGCCATTAGGATTGGTTTCCAATAGTGTTGTTTAGCCATTAGGATTGGTTTCCAATAGTGTTGTTTAGCCATTGGGATTGGTTTCCAATAGTGTTGCTTAGCCATTGGGATTGATTGGTTTCCAATAGTATTGTTTAGCCATTAGGATTGGTTTCCAATGGTCTTGTTTAGCCATTAGGATTGGTTTCCAATAGTGTTGTTTAGCCATTGCGATTGGTTTCCAATAGTATTGTTTAGCCATTGGGATTGGTTTCCAATAGTGTTGTTTAGCCATTAGGATTGGTTTCCAATAGTGTTGTTTAGCCATTAGGATTGGTTTCCAATAGTGTTGTTTAGCCATTGGGATTGGTTTCCAATAGTGTTGTTTAGCCATTGGGATTGGTTTCCAATAGTATTGTTTAGCCATTAGGATTGGTTTCCAATGGTCTTGTTTAGCCATTAGGATTGGTTTCCAATAGTGTTGTTTAGCCATTGGGATTGGTTTCCAATAGTATTGTTTAGCCATTAGGATTGGTTTCCAATAGTGTTGTTTAGCCATTAGGATTGGTTTCCAATAGTGTTGTTTAGCCATTAGGATTGGTTTCCAATAGTGTTGTTTAGCCATTAGGATTGGTTTCCAATAGTGTTGTTTAGCCATTGGGATTGGTTTCCAATAGTATTGTTTAGCCATTAGGATTGGTTTCCAATAGTGTTGTTTAGCCATTAGGATTGGTTTCCAATAGTGTTGTTTAGCCATTAGGATTGGTTTCCAATAGTGTTGTTTAGCCATTGGCATTGGTTTCCAATAGTGTTGTTTAGCCATTGGGATTTGTTTCCAATAGTATTGTTTAGCCATTAGGATTGGTTTCCAAGGGTCTTGTTTAGCCATTAGGATTGGTTTCCAATAGTGTTGTTTAGCCATTGGGATTGGTTTCCAATAGTATTGTTTAGCCATTAGGATTGGTTTCCAATAGTGTTGTTTAGCCATTAGGATTGGTTTCCAATAGTATTGTTTAGCCATTAGGATTGGTTTCCAATTAGCCATTGATTATTTCCAATAGTATTGTTTAGCCATTGGGATTGGTTTCCAATAGTATTGTTTAGCCATTAGGATTGGTTTCCAATGGTCTTGTTTAGCCATTAGGATTGGTTTCCAATTAGTGTTGTTTAGCCATTGGGATTGGTTTCCAATAGTATTGTTTAGCCATTAGGATTGGTTTCCAATAGATTAGGATTGGTTTCCAATAGTATTGTTTAGCCATTAGTTTCCAATAGTATTGTTTAGCCATTAGATTGGTTTCCAATAGTCTTGTTTAGCCATTATTGGTTTCCAATGGTCTTGTTTAGCCATTAGGATTGGTTTCCAATAGTATTGTTTAGCCATTAGGATTGGTTTCCAATAGTATTGTTTAGCCATTAGGATTGGTTTCCAATAGTCTTGTTTAGCCATTAGGATTGGTTTCCAATGGTCTTGTTTAGCCATTAGGATTGGTTTCCAATAGTCTTGTTTAGCCATTAGGATTGGTGTCCAATGGTCTTGTTTAGCCATTAGGATTGGTTTCCAATAGTCTTGTTTAGCCATTAGAATTGGTTTACAATAGTATTGTTTAGCCATTAGGATTGGTTTCCAATGGTCTTGTTTAGCCATTAGGATTGGTTTCCAATGGTCTTGTTTCGCCATTAGAATTGGTTTCCAATGGTCTTGTTTAGCCATAAGGATTGGTTTCCAATGGTCTTGTTTAACCATTAGGATTGGTTTCCAATAGTCTTGTTTAGCCATTAGAATTGGTTTCCAATAGTATTGTTTAGCCATTAGGATTGGTTTCCAATGGTCTTGTTTAGCCATTAGGAGTTTATGGTCTTGTTTAGCCATTAGGATTGGTTTCCAATAGTCTTGTTTAGCCATTAGGATTGGTTCCAATGGTCTTGTTTAGCCATTAGGATTGGTTTCCAATAGTCTTGTTTAGCCATTAGAATTGGTTTCCAATAGTATTGTTTAGCCATTAGGATTGGTTTCCAATGGTCTTGTTTAGCCATTAGGATTGGTTTCCAATGGTCTTGTTTCGCCATTAGAATTGGTTTCCAATGGTCTTGTTTAGCCATAAGGATTGGTTTCCAATGGTCTTGTTTAACCATTAGGATTGGTTTCCAATAGTCTTGTTTAGCCATTAGAATTGGTTTCCAATGGTCTTGTTTAGCTATTAGGGATTGGTTTCCAATGGTCTTGTTTAGCCATTAGGATTGGTTTCAATAGTCTTGTTTAGCTATTAGAATTGGTTTCCCAGCTGCATTGTTTAGCCATTAGGATTAGTTTCAGCAATGGTCTTGTTTAGCTATTAGGATTGGTTTCCATAGTCTTGTTTAGCCATTAGAATTGGTTTCCAATAGTATTGTTTAGCCATTAGGATTGGTTTCCAAGGGTCTTGTTTAGCCATTAGGATTGGTTTCCAATAGTCTTGTTTAGCCATTAGAATTGGTTTCCATTAGTATTGTTTAGCCATTAGGATTGGTTTCCAATGGTCTTGTTTAGCCATTAGGAGTGGTTTCCAATAGTCTTGTTTAGCCATTAGAATTGGTTTCCAATAGTATTGTTTAGCCATTAGGATTGGTTTCCAAGGGTCTTGTTTAGCCATTAGGATTGGTTTCCAATAGTTTGTTTAGCCATTAGGAATTGGTTTCCATTAGTATTGTTTAGCCATTAGGATTGGTTTCAAATGGTCTTGTTTAGCCATTAGGAGTGGTTTCAATGTCTTGCTTAGCCATTAGAATTGGTTTCAATGGTCTTGTTTAGCCATTATGGATTGGTTTCTTAATGGTCTTGTTTAATGTCAGGAATTGGTTTCAATGGTCTTGTTTAGCCAATAGAATTGGTTTCCAATGGTCTTGTTTAGCCATTAGGATTGGTTTCCAATAGTCTTGTTTAGCCATTGTTAACTGGTTTCCAATAGTATTGTTTTCAGCCATTAGAATTGGTTTCCAATAGTCTTGTTTAGCCATTAGGATTGGTTTCCAATGGTCTTGTTTAGCCATTAGAATTGGTTTCCAATGGTCTTGTTTAGCCAATAGAATTGGTTTCCAATGGTCTTGTTTAGCCATTAGGATTGGTTTCCAATAGTCTTGTTTAGCCATTAGAATTGGTTTCCAATAGTATTGTTTAGCCATTAGAATTGGTTTCCAATAGTCTTGTTTAGCCATTAGGATTGGTTTCCAATAGTCTTGTTTAGCCATTAGAATTGGTTTCCAATAGTATTGTTTAGCCATTAGGATTGGTTTCCAATGGTCTTGTTTAGCCATTAGGATTGGTTT